GGTATAGTCAATAAGGATTACATTGATTAAGAAAAATTCTGGAAATAACTTTTCCTTATCTAGTGATTAAAAGTTTTGAAATGTTTTAAAAGGAGGTGCTCGCAGACTGTTAACGTATTTGTATTAATTCCGACGAACGGCTGCTTTCATGTTTTCTCGATCATGACCCCTGGAGTAGGAACAAATAGGGCTCCGTTTCGGTCTGTCTGTCGTTGTCTTGTCAGTTGTTATTAGATACATAATCTTCGAAACTACTGTACCGATAGTTGTCAAATTTTACGTGATTTAAGAATATCGTGTAGACCGGTAAACGATGACCAAAATTTGTCTAATCATCCCCAACTTATTGCTATGAAATTTTAAATATAAATTGTACACAAGTTACTATATATATATATAACAGCGGCAGTTTTTTAAAAAACAATTTCATCATTCTTTTTCATTTTTAAAATTCAATATCTCAATTATTATTTATAGAAATTTCGGAAAGCGGTTTTTCTCCACTCTTTTCAGCTTATAAAGCTCTATACGTTACATGGAAAACATTGTCGATTTCTTTTGTTGAAAATGAGCAGCTTCTTCAACACAAGTTTGTTTTTTGTGTATCCAATTAATAATGAAATATGGAGTTCTGTAAGCTGAAAATATGAAAATAGTGGTTGAAACTGCATTACGAAATTTCAATAAATAATAGAGATGATATTGGTTTTTGAAAGTACCTACGTGATGAAAAATTTCTTCAAAATGCTAAAAAGAAAATGACGATAAACTGTTTAAAAAAAAACTGCTTTTGGATGATATAGCGAAAGGTGTGGACGGGTTATATGTAAAATTTCATATAGTTTTATCCTAAAATAAATACAATTTTGCAAAATAATATTTTATAACTTGTGGAATAAACTGAATTAAGTAGCTTATAATTTTTCTTTTTTTTTTTTTTTTCTTAATGTACATATATTATTCATAACAAGAGACTGGGAACATGTTTAGAGTGGTAAATTTTAACCTCCACATTCCGGCATAAATTTCTTCTCGTGAATAGAAAACTACGTACATATATTAAGAAAAACAGTCAAAATATAAACCCCGCCCACCAACCCTCATCTCAATTGTGATTACTTTTATATTCGCCGTGAGTCGAGAGGCGGAACTTAATTGCAAAATACTTATTTTTGTACAATAAACACTATGTAAAACATGTTTTTTGGTATGATGTTGAAAGAAAATTTTATATGTTAAGAAAACAAAAGTTAAAAATAGCAAAACTCCACATAGAGAAAGTTTCAAGAGATGTCCCGCCCACCTAGCCAAACTCCGCCTCATTGGCGCTAAAATTAAACGTGAAATTGACGTTTCCCAATAACACAATTCAGTAGGACCTTACAAATTTTCATTACCAAAAAACACTAAATTGTCTAATAAAACGGACTCTTGTTAAGAATTTCAAATTATTCCCAAAATAAGAAATTAATTGGATACTCCACCTACCCATACAAGCTCCGCCTTGATATATGATCCACCCTAATTCTAAGAAAAGTGTTACTATAAACAAATTTTGCATCAAAAGGAAACTTACTCAGAGAGAAGTTCGGAAATGTTATAAAACATGAAACGATTTATCCAGAGACTGGCAATTTTTAATCTTAAGTAGGACACGCCTCTGATTTTCATCAAATATCCTCATCCAATCAAAAAAATGTCACCGCCGTCGTCATAGAAACATCTTATATGACCGCGGGTAAAATTAATTAAGTAAAATGTACTATTGTGTTTAAAGGGCCAGGGAAGTTCTGTGTAAAACTTAAATAACTTAAAGATCTTTTTCTACGATGCTGAAATTATTTGGATGTTTAATTTCAGGTGCAAGGGAGTTTCTGTCCAAATAATTTTAAAACAATTTCACTCTTTATATTAATTGTTTATATAGGTGCTATCTAAGTAAATATTGTGAAAAAATGGAAGAGCAGTTTTCCATTCAGAGAAGCTGAATATAATTCATATCAAAAACTAAACAAATAAAAGAGAAACCTGAGGATTATACGAAGAGAATTGTCCAACAAAATCACTGTATGTTTAATTAGATAAACTGCGCGCCAAAAGTTGGGGATATTTTAATTAATTTCATTTAAACCTTCTCAATTGTTTGGATAATTATAACAAGAATAATGTACATGTCTTTCATCGATATTCCTAACTTTTGACGCACAACGTATTTAGTTATAAGGAAAGCAAGATCTAAAAAAAAAACTAAACGGGCTTTCAAAAAAATTGGTTTAAAAAAGCTCGTATGTTTAACAAAATACAAGGAAACTAGTACAGTCGGCTCCAGAAAAAACGGAATGGACTTTGTGCAATGTAAAATGTACTTGGGTCTTATTTGTCAATTTGACAAATCTGTTAAATATTTGTCACTATTTTGACACAAAATGTTTGCAGTGTCATTATTGTTCTAACCTATTTCAAAATAGTCCTGTTTAGACTAGGAAAATTCACACAGTAAGTAATCTGTCATACTAACTTTGATAGGTCCCGTTTTTTCTGGAGCCAACTGTACTAGCCAAGATAAGACTGATTTTGGCAGATGATATACCTTTTAAAAAAATTGAGGGCGGGTGGGCGGGGCTAGTCGTACCTGCTAAGATAAGACTGATTTTGGCAAATAACATACCCTCTAAGAAAAAAAGAACTCAGCAGAGTTTCTAAAAAATTGATCTAAAGAATTTAGGCAGTAGTTATCTCGCTCTCAGAACCGTGACTCCATACTTATTAAATTTTAATTAACGATTTACCATTCTTCCAATAACCTTAAAACAGACAGACGGAAACGCGACACCTACTTTTTCGTACTCCAGGGGTCACGAAACGTCGAGAAAACCTACACAGTATTACAATACTTACCTAGTTTACGCTCGGGAAGTAAAAACAGACCTGTTCCACTTGCGAAAAAAGCATCACAGTGTAACCCGGTCTAGCCAGACCGGTGTGGGTCCCAACAATATTGATATGTGTATAAACAAAACAATAGATTGCTCTTACCTAAACTAATTTTTGGTCGGCGTCGACAGCAGGTCACAGAATTCACTACTTTTGAGGCCGAGAACCGCAAAGAGGGGTTGCCAAAGAAAGGAAGAAAACTACCAAGTAGTTTCGAGTTCGACCAGCCTCCTTTATTTTTCGCACACGTTACGAAATCTTACATTAATAAAGAAACAAGACAACCTTAAAGCAAATGAACACTAACAATTTTGAATAAAATAAAAAGAGTGAAGTTAACACAACTTACAACTCTACACTAAAAATGCAAAAAAAAAAAATTATTGAAAGCAAAAACAACCCGCGGGAGATTTTCCCGACGACCACTTGAAACCCGAAACAGTAACTAAATTTTGTGACAAAATTTTGCAGCCAAGTCGTACCTTCCTGATTAGAGGGGGTACTTCTTGGCCAATTACCTCTTTTCGGGGGTGGTTTCTCTCAGAAACTTTTTTACCACAATTTGGCCTAAAAAGAGAGCAATAACTTGGAGCGGGTGGTCTGTCGGCAAATTCGTCCAATTCATAGGAACATCTTTCCTGTACAATAGGCTTACAAACATAAAAATATCCACATTTTACAGACCATTGACAACGGTGAGAATGCTGGAACCCTAATAAAAATTATCCCACTTCGAAACTTACTGGCGAATTTCTTTAGCCCGGGCTCCGGGTAGCAATACAAAACACACCTCTACAAATCCGGAAGAGAGACAATCTGTCTGGCCGTAACTAAAGTTCTTTTCCCAAAACTTATCTTCTATATACAATAATTATCAAATTACAATTAAAAAAAAAAACATCTATCTCTACGAATAAATTCCGCGTCAAAGACTGACATATCTGGTGCTTAATGGCTTTCGATCAAGAATGTTTCAATTTTATGCCTCTAAACAACTGGATTCCAGGTTATTGCTGGGTCCCATTGTATAAAGGGCATCAAACCGAAAACGTGCTTGGTCCACGGGGGTTTTAGGAAACTTTATGGTGTGGATGTATATATATATATAGTTTTTTGTTTGTCAACTAATCGTTCCAAATTTCAAACTTCAATATTTTCAAATGTAAACGGGGGGACTAAATTAATTAATGACTTACACTAAAAAATAACAAACAGTTTGTCATTTACGAAACAACTTTGGTTTTAAGTTAAGTAACTGTTCAAAATTTTTCATTTCTTAATTTACAGTGCGATTTTAAAATATCCTTCTTTGTTTAAAATTGTACTAAATTTAATCATAAATTTGTCCTCAATATAACATTGTCACTGCAATAATTTGTTAATTTGATAAATATACAGAAAGATACGCTAAGTTTTTTTTTTTTTTTTTGTTGGATAAATAAACTATTAATAGTTGTTTTGTTTATAATTCTTACAAGCGTGGTGACTTAGATCATTGTAGCCATGAACTTTTCAACTCATGTAATCTGAGCTACGTCTTCAGCCACAAAGGTCTCATTCCTATCTTTTAACTTCAAATTATTTTTCTGTATATATTTCTGCAGTGACTCGAATGAAAAGATCTGTTTTGAAACTACAAGTGGAACAAAATTACATAAAACGGCGCAGTTTGAAATAATCCGAAGTGACATTGAGTAAACAGTGTTGTCGTTAAACGAATTTCTGTTGAATTAGTAGCCGTATGCATCAATTTTACAAGGTAAATACACCGTTATCGCAACATGTGTAATTGAAAAAAAGGGCGAAGTGCGATATTGACAAAAACGATTGATCTTTTTAACGGGCTGTGTTCACAGAGTGTTACTTTTTAAATACTCTCTGTATTAATTAATGTGTTTGTATTATACTTACATTCAAAATTTTTGACGTTTTCAAATTTAGAAATTAACACGTTTTAGTTTTTCAGAATAATTCTGAGACTACTAAAAATATGCAACAAATTGTATACAATTGTGCATTTTTTCGTGAAAATCAATGAGAATCAAATTTCTTGTTTTTTGTTACAGAATGAAGCCACCTATCCACCTCCACTTGCCGAAAATATGAATTATGATGTTGTTCCGGTCGAAAAATGATCATAACGTCTTCTCTCATGGTTGAGAGACAGCTTCGAAAAACCCTTTACATTTTTCTCTTATTTTATTTTTGTTTCCCCTGCGTATCCAGTTATTTGTTACTAATAGACGAAAAGCAGCAACCCGGCGATGTAATATTCAACGCTTCAGTATACAGACTCGGCTCTGAACGGAAATACAAAGTAAATTCACACCGATCCGCCCCGTTTGTAGAAAATTTAATCCACGTGGACCAACACAGCGGCCAAGTATCCCTTCTGCAGAGCTTGCAGTGCAACGGACTCTACTACCCTAATTTATTCACAATCCATATCGACTCCACATCGAACCGACTGAGGGATATCGATTACTACAGTCTCCCTCTACGTATCCTCATTGTGGGACCGCAGTGTACGGAACAAAACGACGAAAATTTCGAATATTTACACGAAAACTCCAGACGGAGGCGCAGTTTTCACCAGCCCAATCCTTTCCTATCCCAAATCCATCCCTCCGTCAAACAGAGAATCACCGAAGCGAAACAATGGATCTCCGAAACCTACGCATCCTTCGCCATCCCGACACCAGGAAAATGGGAGAAAATCTGCCTAAGGCAATCCCAGTTCATCAACTCGATTTCCGCTTTCCTTCCGAAAACTATCGGCGAATTCTGCACAGTTGCATTCAATTACCTCAGCGACGACCGCTTCACAATCGAACACAGCCAAGGCGATTTGGTGGCAAGTAGAGATGTGTGTATAGTCGAACCGTTGTGGAAAGTAACTATCCTGTTTTCGACCCGCTGTGAGGACATACGGGTCCTCAACACAGAACACCGCTTGAAGATAGTCTACCACCACCAACTCTTCAACGACACAGATATAGCCAAACGTGTTCGACGCGAATTAAGAAATCAGTCACCCTTCTTCGAAAAACCCCTATACGTAGCAAGCGTGTTAGAAGAATGCGACCCGGGGGTGGTAGTCACGACCGTCAAAGCCCGCGATCCCGAAAACAGCCCCATCAACTATTCCATGACGAGTTTACTGGACTCTCGTACTCAGGGAATGTTCGATATCGACCCCAAAACCGGAATCATCACCACCAAAGTAAAACTTGACCGGGAATTAGTGGATGTCCACTATTTCCGTGTCACCGCGATGGATGACAGTTTTCCGCCTCGCAGCGGCACGACCATGCTCCAGATCAATGTTCTGGATGCCAATGACCACTCTCCCGTTTTCGAGATGAACGAGTATGATGCGAGTGTTAAGGAGAGTGTGAGTGTGGGGTCGACCGTCATCACGTTGAAAGCGACGGATCAGGATGTGGGGAAGAACGCCGATGTGGAATATTCGATTCAGAGTATTAACGGAGGAGGAATGTCGACGGAGGAGGAGGATAATCGAGCGTTTAAGATTGACCCGAAGACGGGGGTTATTACGACTAGATTGATGCTGGATAGGGAAACGACGGAAGTGTATACTTTGATTATTACTGCGAGCGATTTGGCGACGCCTCAGAGTGCGAGGAGATCGGCGAGCGCTAGTGTGGTAGTGCATATTTTGGATGATAACGATAATTATCCGCAGTTTTCGGAAAGGACGTATACGGTGGCGCTAGATGAGGATATAGATTGGATGTCGAATCCGGTTGTCGCACATATCAAGTAAGTAGAAATGTGTAACTTGTTGACATTAGCGACTATGAGTTTTAAATTGTTCTGATACATCTGGAAAAATTTGTGTCGCGAGCTTCGTTCACTCTTTACTGCTTGTTGCTGAAGAAATTAAAAATTATGGGAGATAATGGCGATTTACACTGCAGAACAACTAATAACATGCTAAATCAAAAGCCAGTCAAGATCATTAAGGTAATTTTTAAGTCACATCGTATAAATTTAGTAAATTAATGTCGTTTGCACCCTCCACGAAAAGTTGGACTCTCTTTTAATACCCAATTTCGTCCCAAGTTTATTACAATTTTACCCTTAAGTAATGCATTTTTTATGGATCCGACCGTCGTTTTTTTAATAAGTAAATATAATAAATGAGTGATAAAATAACGCATAACATGAATAACGTTTTTATGAGTCAAGATAACGCTGAAAGGTAAAACAGCTTTGTAGGACAAATTGTAAGCTTTATTTACACTAATTAGATTATCTGTAGTTGTTTGAATTTGTATTTCTCGAGCGTTTACTAGAAGACAATTGTAATAATAGGGTGTATTTAACCAATGGCTAATTTCATATTTTCTCGACGTTTGGTATCTCCTCGAAATGAAAAAATAGGTTTTCTGTCTCCTTGTGTTGATCTACTTTCGTATTTCTGCCCTCTATTGACAATCTTATTACTTTTTATTACTTAAAATGTACCTGTGACTTACTAATCCGCCTCTATTGTTCCGAAATTTTGCACACACTTTAATATCAATTTAATGACGTCATCTCAAAATTTTCTAATGAAAATCTCGCTTGTAATTTATAGTGTTTTAGTTCCCGAGCGTAAACCAAGGATGTATTGTCATCGAGTCCATTGGCCGATTCCCTACTCTTATGTTTTCTCGACGTTTCATGATCCTTAGAGTTCGAAAACATAGATTCCTCGTTGCCGTCCGTCTGTCTGCCCTCTGCCCGCGTTTGTGTCGATTTTTATTCGCCAGATAATCGTCCAACCTACCGAACCGATTGGTGACAAAATTTGTCTGATCCAACAGTGACATGACGTCATCTCCTACTTTTACAATAGTAAATATTATTTAAACTTTATGAAATAACATACTCCTCCATTTGTAGTTTATGAATCCGGTTTGAGTTTTTATCCTAGACATCCAGATTTTTGTAAAAAACAAAATTGTATAGCAACATTTTACAATTAAACTTTGAAATTGCAAAACCCAATGCTCTAAAACCTTGCAAACGTTTTAAGTTTATCGGAAACATGGTAAATCGTTAATCAAAATTTATCCCTCAACTCTTCTAAAAAGTGATGATGTCGTCTCAAAATCTTGACAAATAAATCCTATCTAAAATGTGCCGTATACGTGTGATTTTTATGATTGCATTCATATTTTTTAAAATTGTTTATACAGGGTGACTAAAGAAATGATGAATGAGCCAATTTATTTCATTGATTAAATCAGAAACTGCAAAACCGAATGGCTTGAATCTTGCAGGCCTTTTAAAATTCTCGTAAGCTAACCAAATATATAAAAATATATATGTTTATCCCCTCCAAAAAAACGCTGACGTCATCTCAAAATTTTGCCAAATAAATCCTATCGGAACTATGTAAAGTGTAATGTGAGTCGATAATTCTGAATTATCATTTTTGCTTACACAGGGTGAAAAAAAAATGAGTCAGTTTATTTTATTGATTAAATCAGCAACGGCTCTCTCCATTTTCTCGAAAATTTGGAAATACAATACTGTTATTTTTAGTATTACACTGCACGTATTCAAACTGATATACATGTCCTTTAAAATGTTGATGACGTCATCACACAAAAGTTTGTAAAGAAAAAACTCATTTCAGATATACTCGTAGCATGCTCCTTTACATGTACTGTAACATTGCATACATACTTTGATTTTAGCTTGTAAGAGTTTTCGTAAAAGAAATAAAATTTCTAAAATTAAATTTTGTAATTTTTCGAAAAAGGTGGATATGATTTATTGTACTTCAGGGACGAGGGATATTCTTTTGAGATAATCTTTGGCCAATTTTTACTTTAATGTTGTATGCATATCTTTATTTTAACTTATAGGGGACCCCATAAAAAAGAATTTGCAAAACCTAATATTCTAATTTTTCGAAGACGCTGGATATATTTTATTGTACATCAGAGTCGAAGGAAGTTCTGTCCAATTAATCTTCGATAATTTTTTTTTAGTTTTGTTACACGTGCCCTTGATAAATGTGGATGATGCCATCACAAAATTTTGTTGTTTATCGCTTGCAATATGCTTTTAAGATAATCTAATTTTTAGTGTAATTAAAGAAAACTAAGAAATATTTTTTACATTCAAAGAATGAGTTAAATTACCTTATCAAACAAGCAGAAACAATCGTAAATTGTCCGTCGTCCCGACTTCCTGTTCTGAGTTTGTGGTTTTTTAGAATAATGCATTTGTATCAATGCAAAATCGGGTACGCGAACTTCTTGACAGCAAACAAGAAGTTAACAATCCACTGTTGTCTTTCATATTTCGATGTAAATTGTTATTATGAGTGAGACCTTTTTTAGAATTGCTTAGTGAGACTCAAAACAATTCATTTATAAGACCTTTTATTTTGTTGATCAAATCAAGAACGGCTCACCCTATTTTTTTGAAATTTCGGAAATACAGTAGTGTCATTGTTAGTGTTATATTCCGCCTAGCAAATTGATATACGTGTCTTAATTGCAGCATAATAAAATTTTGCAATAGAAAAACTCACTTAAAATAATCGCATAGCGTGCGTCTTTACCTTTACTGTGATACCACACGCATAGTTATGTTCATTTTAATTTATAGGCGTAAAAAAAACAAATTAACAAAATAAAATTCTTCTACAATCGTGTAAAAAATTACTCATATGTGAATGATTTAATGATTTTGGAAACATTCTTTGGTTGTCATAGGGCTAACTAACATAAGACAGTATGATGATACCTTTTAGTTGTTGTAGAATTTTATTTAAGTCTCCATTAAAACTGGTGCATTTTTTCTACAATGGTGCATTATATCCACGATTGTAGAAAAAATGTTTTATGCAACACGTGCAAAAGTGTTCTTGCACACAACGTATTGTTACGTCGCGTGAAAGAATCAGTCACTTTTTGCACTTGTTGCATAAATAACTATTCTTACGCTACTTGTATAGTTATCAATTTCACACATCTCCTTAATTATTTTTTTTACGAAATCTAACATAGCCACTATTTTTATAAATGTTGACCTCTAGCTACAAAGAAAATATGTAATCAATATTTACATTTAAAAGAATTGTATTTAATGATATGCTGTTGCTCAATAATAATAATCAATTTGAGTTGTCTAGTTCAAGGCAAATTAACCATATAACTAATATTACCGGGTTGTTTCCACCCATGTTATTGATTTAGAAATGTTTTCAGAAGTTAAATACCAAAGTTACTGTAATTTAAAATCACTGTTCGCAGCTAAAACGTCTCGAAACGTGATCTGGCCGTTTTAGATTTAGCGTTGCATGAAAAACAAAATGGCAAAAAAAGAAAAAGTTCACAGTAGCAGAATGATATGAACAGTTATTTCCTTCAGTACACCAATTTTTTTGTTATAATAAGTTGTTTAAAATGAAGACTTACCGAGCCTTAAGTCACTATACTTTTATCTGTCAAGAGACTCAAAGTGAGTCGAAAAATATGAACATTTTACGTTTTTTCAATATTCAATCAAAAGTAAAAAGAAAACAAAGCAAAATGACCTCTTACAACACACGACCTTGATTTATTGACGTTTTTAGAGCCACGGACGCCGACCAGGGTAATAACGCTGCCATCCGATACGCCATAATAAGCGGCAATACCCAATCGCAATTTTCCATTGACAGCCTGACCGGTGACGTTTCACTTGTTAAACCATTAGATTATGAAACCTTGCGTAATTACCGCCTGGTTATACGAGCCCAGGACGGCGGAAGTCCAGCCAGATCAAACACCACACAATTGCTAATCAACGTTAAAGACGTCAACGACAACGCTCCACGATTCTATACCTCGCTCTTTCAAGAAAGCATCCAAGAAAACGCACCCGCTGGTTATAGCATAGTTAAAGTACAAGCCTACGATGCCGACGAAGGTCCTAACGCCGATATAAAGTACACTATAGCACCAAGAGACTCCATAGGGGGCAGCACTGAAGACTTCCCATTAAGTGTGGACCCCCACAGTGGCTGGATCACCACTACGAAAGAACTAGACAGAGAGGACCAATCGAAATTTATGTTCCAGGTACGTTTAGTCATTTCTGTGATACATGGGATAATTTTGCCCCTCCAGGTTATAGCAACCGACCAAGGCAACCCCCCTCAATCCGCCAGCGCTAGCGTAGTAATAACGGTGCAAGACGTCAATGACAACGACCCAGTTTTCGAACCAAAAATCTACGAAGCTGTGATTTCTGAAGACGACTCTCCGGGAACACCAGTGGCTACGGTGACGGCGACCGACGCCGATGAAGATGCTCGCTTACACTACGAACTCACCAATGGCAACACCAGAGGGCGCTTCGCCATAACCTCGCAGAACGGACGCGGCGTCATAACTGTAGCCCAACCCTTAGATTATAAGCAAGAGAAGCGCTATATATTAACCGTGACGGCTGCGGACTCGGGTGGACGTACTGACACAGCCACAGTTTACGTCAACATCACCGATGCCAACAATTTTTCGCCGGTTTTCGAAAATGCGCCGTATACGGCGAGCGTTTTCGAAGACGCGGTCGTGGGAACGACGGTTCTGGTGGTTTCAGCGACGGACAACGATGTTGGGTTGAACGCGCAGATCACGTATTCGTTGGGGGACGACGGTGATCATCCGGCTGAGTTTACGATAAATCCGCAAACTGGTGCGATTATTACGACGAAAACTTTGGATAGGGAGACGATGAGCGGGTATTTACTTACTGTGACTGCTCGAGATGGGGGAAACCCCCCTTTGTTGGATACTACAGATGTGGAGATATCAGTGACAGATGTTAATGATAATTATCCTGTGTTTAAACAGGCGGCTTATTCGGGGAGCGTGCTGGAAGATGCCGTTGTGGGTAAGTGCTATTGCTATTTGATTTAAGTTGTATGCGGGGTGTGCACGCAAGTGTATTTAAAACTCCTTTATATTTATTGGACATTATCTAATTTTTACTTCTCGAGCATAAGCTAAGGAAGTATTGTAGTCGAGTCCATGGGGCGACTGGTTACTTTCATGTGTCGACGTTTCATGACCCTTAGAGTACGAAAAAATAGGTCTTCCGTTTCCGTCTCTCTGTCTGCTGTTTGTTTTTTATTAGACAAATAATGACGTCTTCTCCAAATTTTATAATACTAAATATTATTTAAATTTTATAAAATAAAGTACTCCTCTATTTGAGATTTATGAATCCGTTTTGAGTTTGTACGTACCATCGGCATCCAGATTTTTGGAAAAAAAAACAAAATTATATAACAGCATGTTACAATTAAACTTTAAAATTGTAAACTCAAATGCTTTTACCCGTTATTTAAATGTTAAAAAGTAGCATAGTCCTAACTTGAATCCGTGTTAAGTTTTACACCCAGATTTCTGGAAAAAATCAGAATTTTAGATAGTTTTTTGATTTCTCAGTTTTTCGAATTTTTGATTTGTCGGTTTTTCCATTCCTTGATTTTTTAACTTTTGATTACTCAATAATTTTTCGATGTTTCAGTTTTGGAATTTTTCAGTTTTTCAATTTCTCGATTCCTCAAATTTTTGATTTCTCATTTCTGGATTAATTGATTTTTTGATTTTCCCATTTCTCGATTTCTCGACTTTTCAATGCTTCGATTTTCCTGTTTCAACACTTCTATTTTGCAGATTTTCGATTTTCAGGTTTTTGATTTTTCGACTTCCATTTTTTTGACCTTTCGATTTCTCGATATTTCAGTTTTTCGACTTCTCAATTTTTCAATATTTCAGTTTTGGGATTTTTCAATAATTCGATTCAATATTTTATTTTTGCGAATTTAAAATTTTTCGATTTTTAAATTTTTCAGTTTTTTAATGTTTCGATTTCTCGATCTTTCGATTTTTCAAATTCGCGGTTTTGGATTTTTCGGTTTTTTGATGTTTCAATTTTAAAACTTATTGATTTTTCAATTTTTCAAATTATGGCGTTTTATAAATTTTCCATTTTTTGCTTTACCTATTTCTCGATTTTTCGACTTTAATGTTTCGATATTTCAGTTTTTCAATTCTTCAATTTTTCGATTTTCAGGTTTTTGATTCTTCAATTTTTCGATTTTTAGGTTTCTGATTTTTACTATTTTGGATTTTTTGACTTCCATTTTTCGACTTTTCGATTTCTCGATTTTTCAGTTTTTCGATTTTCAATTTTTCTATGTTTCAGTTTTGGGATTTTTCAATGTTTTACTGTTGCGATTTTTAAATTTTCAGTTTTTTGATGTTTCGATTTCTCGATCTTTCGATTTTTCAACTTCGCGGTTTTGAATTTCTCGGTTTTTCAATTTTTGGTTCTAAAAATTTTTGATTTTTCGATTTTTCAAATTATGACGTTTCTAAATTTTCCATTTTTTGATTTTCCTATTTCTCGATTTTTCGACTTCAATGTTTCCATATTTTAGTTTTTCAATTCTTCAATTTTCTTCCATTTTTCAATTTTTCGATTTTTTGACTTCCATTTTTTGAACTTTTTGATTTCTCGATTTTTTAGTTTATCGATTTCTCAATTTTTTGATGTTTCAGTTTGGAGTTTTTCAATATTTCGATTCAGTGTTTTACTTTTACAATTTTTAAATTCTTCAATTTTTAAATTTTAAATTTTTCAGTTTTTTTTTTTGTTTCGATTTCTCGATCTCTTATCTATGAACTTCACGGTTTTGGATTTTTTGGTTTTTCAATTTTTCTAAAATTCTAAAAATTATTGATTTTTCGATTTTTAAAATTATGACGTTTCTAAATTTTGCATTTTTTGATTTCCGTATTTCACTCAATTTCTCGACTTCAATTTTCCATATTTCAGTTTTTTAATTCTTCAAAATTTTCGATTCTTCAATATTTCTTCGATTTTTCAATGGTTTGATATTTCAGTTTTTCAATTCTTCAATTTTTCTCCCATTTTTCAATTTTTGGATATATATTTTTCAGTGTTTCGATTTCTCAATTTTGGGATTCTTCAAATATGGATTCAATGTTTTACTTTTGCAGATTTAAATGTTTTGATTTTTAAATTTTTCAGTTTTTTGATATTTCGATTTCTGGATCTTTCGGTTTTTCGGTTTTTCAATTTTTCGATCTATTGAATTATGACGTTTCTAAATTTTACATTTTTTGATTTTCTATTTCTCAATTTCTCGACTTCAATTTTCCATATTTCAGTTTTTCAATTCCTTAAAAATTTCGATTTTCAGATTTTTGATTCTTCAATTTTTCGATTGTTCAATTTTTCTTCTATTTTTCAATGTTTCAATATTTTAGTTTTTCAATTCTTCAATTTTTTGGTTTTCAGGTTTTTGATTCTTCAACTTTTCGATTTTTAGACTTTTCGATTTTTTACTTCAGCAATTTTTTTGATGATCAGATCTCCCGATTTTTCAATTTTTCGACATTTTAATTTTTTTAATTTTAGATTTTTCAATTCTTCGATATTTCTATTGTTCAGTTTTTCGATTTTCTAAATTCTTGATTTTTCAATTTTTCGCGTTTTTTTTTATAATTCAATTTGGTGATGTCTTGGTTATTGGAATTTTAACATTTTTTGAAATTCGATTTTCAGATTTCTCGACTTTCCAAGTTTTCGATTTTTTCAACATTTCAATTTTGGGAACTTTTCTTTCAATTTTTAGTTATTTTAATTTTTCGACTTTTTGATGTTTCGATTTCTCCATCTTTCTATTTTTCAGCTTTTCGCTTTCGATTTTTCATTTTTCAATTTGTCTATTGTTCGATATTTCGATTTTTCAATTTTTCGATTTTTCCAAAAACCATTTATTTCAATTTTTCGGTTTTCCGATTTTTGAATTTTTCGGTTCTTAACTTTTCTTTTTAAATTTTTCGTTTTTTAAAATTTTTAATTTTTCGATTTTCAAAGTTTCAATTTCTCGATTTATCAAGATTTCGATATAACGACTTTTTGATTGTTCAGTTTCTCTATTTTTTTTTAATTTTAATTTTTTAATTTTTAACTTTTCGATTTTGGCCTATTTCGATTTCTCGATTTATGAATGTTGTGATGTTTCAGTTTTTGAATTTTTCGATATTCTAATTTGTCGTCATTTCAGTCTTGGAATTTTCAATTTCTCGATTTTTCAGTTTTTTGATTCTTCAATTTTTTTGATGTTCAGATTTCTCGATTTTTCAATTTTTCGACATTTTAATTTTTTTAATTTTAGATTTTTCAATTCTTCGATATTTCTATTGTTCAGTTTTTCGATTTTCTAAATTCTTGATTTTTCAATTTTTCGCGTTTTTTTTTTATATTTCAATTTGGTGATGTCTTGGTTATTGAAATTTTAACATTTTTCGACCTTTTGATTTTCAGATTTCTCGACTTTCCAAGTTTTCGATTTTTTCAACATTTCAATTTTGGGAACTTTTCTTTCAATTTTTGGTTATTTTAATTTTTCGACTTTTTGATGTTTCGATTTCTCTATCTTTCTATTTTTCGGCTTTTCGCTTTCGATTTTTCATTTTTCGATTTTTAAAATTCTAGATTTCCCAGTGTCTTGATTTATGAATTTTTTTCAATTTGTCTATTGTTCGATATTTCGATTTTTCAATTTTTCGATTTTTCCAAAAACCATTTATTCCAGTTTGTTGCCTGCTTTAAATATATTTCATATTGTCCGTACTTATGCGGACTACGTCTCCTTGAATTTGCGTGGACTGCCGAACTATTATTTACCCCCCTGGTTTTGCGTTGTTTGTTATGCTGTATTTCGAGGGCGAGGGAAGTTCTGTCGAAATAACCTTTTAAGTTTTTTTCTACTTGTATTAGAAATGACAGAGAAGTTAGTTTATTGTCTAAAACAACACAAATAAAAAGACAAATTACTTCAAATCGGGCTTTCTTACGTGTTGCGAATAATGTGCTTCAAAAAATGTTCTTCCTCCAATTATTTATTATTTGTTTTGGTAATAAATCTACCTTGCGTGTGACTCCGCAATAACTACTTGTGTAATAAACTTTTTCGACCCAGATCCGGTCATAACAACCTGTTACAAACTGCAGAAAAAGTAACAGCACAAAAGCATTAATTACCTCTTGTTTTTTGTGACAAAGAACCACTTTGTCGTTTTGAGTAATATTTTTCTACATTTACTCATGTACAGTTTATAAGTCACAAAACTGATTTAACTTCATGAAAAATTGTTTTCATTTTGTTTATAAACGTATTGGTAGGTACTTCGGTGGTTCAAGTATCAGCCACAGACGCCGACGTGGGGCTCAACGGCAAAATATCCTACTCCTTGAGTGAGAAAGACAAAGAAGACGGTTCCTTCGTCATAGACGCCACAAGTGGCGTCATACGAACCAACAAAGGCCTAGATCGAGAATCGGTGGCCGTCTATGAACTAGAGGCCTACGCCATCGATCGTGGATCACCGACTTTGAGTAGTTCCGTACCGGTAACCATCCGCATCGATGACATCAACGACTCACCGCCTGCGTTCGACTCAGACAAAATAGTTCTATGCATACCCGAAAACAGCCCAATTGGCTCAACCGTGGGAGAGATATACGCAAAAGACCCAGACGAAGGTGTCAACGCCATCGTACAATACTCAATTATAGGTGGCGAGGACAGCCAAAGTTTCTCTCTAGTCACAAGACCTGGCTCCGAAAAAGCCGACTTATTAACCATGACCGAACTAGACTACGAAAGCCCCAAAAAGAAGTTCGATTTGATCGTGCGCGCAGCGAGCCCACCGTTACGCAGTGATGCGCATGTCGAGATTATCGTTACGGATGTTAACGACAACGCTCCGGTTCTTCACGATTTTCTCATCATGTTTAATAACTACAGGGATTTTTTTCCAACCGGACCGATCGGACGCATCCCGGCTTTCGATGCAGACGTTTCCGATAAGTTGCACTATAAGATTCTGAGTGGGAATAATGCGAATTTGGTGGCTTTGAATGAGAGTACGGGACAGATACAGTTGTCGCCGCAGCTTAACACGAATGTTCCTAAAATAGCGTCCATGGAGGTGTCGGTTACAGATGGGGTTAATGAAGTGAAAGCGATCATGCAGTTGTCGGTTAGGTTGATAACAGAGGAGATGTTGTATAATTCGATTACGGTCAGGCTTAACCAGATGACGAAAGAAGCGTTCTTGTCGCCCCTGTTGGGGTTCTTTATGGACGGATTAGCAGCCATTATTCCGTGTCCTAAAGAGAACATCTTCATTTTTAGCGTACAGGACGACACAGATGTAGACGCGAAAATTCTCAATGTGAGCTTTTCGGTAAGACGGCCTGACATACCGAAGGAAGTATATTACGCCCCTCAGTTTCTGCAAGAGAGGGTTTATCTGAATAGAGGTATCCTCGCTCGACTTTCCACAGTACAGGTAAAGTATTTGTTTATTTATTATATACACTTTTAAAAAGTTAGAGCGCATCCTGGCGCAGTATAAGGTGGACATATTCACAATTCTGTAATAATAATGATAATAATCATAATCATGTAATAAGAAGTCATCCATCGTAGAATATTATTAATTAAAAGTTTTCTAATAAATAATTCTGTAATATACGAAAAAGATGGGAAAAAATTAGGTCGACGCCACAGAAGTTAAGGTTTTATTGTTGAGGTGAGGGCTAACAAGTTTCGGTACCTACTGGTACCATCATCAGAGTTAAAAGATTAACAGAAAATTAGCTTACAAAAAACAAAGTAGCAAACTTGGTAATTACATAATTACAAAAATTAGGCTTCAGAGCTGTTGTCAACAGCAACCTAAGGTCTAACTAGGAAATGAAAGAAACCCTAGTATTCTTAAAATAAAACACCGCCAACTTAATCTTCCTCCGCTGCGCTCCGTACAGACGTCACAATATCGGTCGTAAATTGATTCTGCTAGTCTAAAAATTCAGGCACCACAAACTTAATCTGCCTCCGCTACGCAGATGAGGTAAATTTTTTAAGGAAATAAGGATTTTGTAATTAGGCTCCACCCCTCGATTCATCACGATTGAGATCGAGACGGATGGGTGGGGCTTCTCTTTTGGTTTTCTTTTTTAATTAATACATTTAGTTTTCTTTGTATAACACGATTACTTAAGAACATATTTCACATAGTAATTTCTCGTAGAAAAGTAATTAAGCTCCGCCCCTCGACTTACGACGAATAAAAAGAATCATCAGAATTGAGATAGGGTGGGTGGGCGGGGTTTACATTTTGTCTTTTTTTTAATTTACTTAAAAACTTAGAACATGTTTAAAATGGTGCATTCTTGCAAGGAAATATGGATTCTGCAATTATGGGGTGAAGCCTAATTGCAAAATCGATATTTCCTTATATAAATTTTCCATTTTAAACATGTTTTAAGTTTCATGTGTGAAAAGAAGTTTACACATATTAAAACAAAAAGGCAAAATGTAAGCCCGCCCACCCGCCCTGTCTCAATTGTGATGATTTTTTTTATTCGCCGTGAACCAAGGAGGCGGAGCTTAACTGCAAAACACTTTTTCTTTACAAGATATTAAAAACATGTTTTTGAGTATCGTGTTGTTCAAAGAATACTATGTATATTAAGAAAAAAAAGGCAAAATATTAACGTAATGTACCTAAATATTTTGACGTTGATTGGAAACGGACCAAGACCTTTGTTTTACGTTTTTTGAAAAACTCTCTTGCAGAATTTTTATTCACAGTATCCATTAGTTTGAGTACTTTAAATTCAAAGCGAGATATTTTATAAAGTGGTAATGAACTAGGTATGTTACCAAAATGTGTCCTCAAAATAAAAAGGTATTTTCGACTAATACCTACTCTGTGACTCCCGATTAATATTAAGTGCTACTAATCATTAGACATCTCGAAACTAAAAGAAAAAAGTGCTGTATGCTATAAAGATTATGAAACAGACTGCATAAATAATTCTGGCAAAAGAAGACGAATTACTCCATCAGCAATCCCTTCTAAATTTGTATGTAGAGTAATTTTTGTACAATATCTTGTTAAATTAAATTCTTTTGATTGTAAAACCAGTGGCGGCTCGTGACCTTTTGAAATGGGGGGACACAGTTTGATTGATGAGTTAAATATGAAGATATAAAACAAGTTGTTATTACCATTGGGCGGAAAAGTATCTTACGGATGCAATTCCCCAGTTGAAGCAAGGTGTGTTTTACGGCGAGTAGTGGGGACGCTTTGATCTGGTCCACAAGGTCGTAGCCAGTGCGTCGCTAAGAGTTCGCTAGGAGTGTTTACGGCTTGTTAAAAAACTACTTCTATATTACTATATTACTTCAAATAAAAATACTCGATGCCCTTTTTAATTTTTCATACACAGGACCACAGATTTGTGATCTTGAAATGTTATATTATGTTGATATAGTCCAAAAGAAAAATATATTTGTAATCAAACTATCGCCGCGACAGCACTGGATCTAGCGTATGAAACACAATTCCGCGCGTTGGTTATTACCAATTAATAGACGAAATTGTGTGGCGGAAATAAATACAAAAATACATTCAATTAAATACAAAAGGATTTCTCCACATACCTTTTTGTCTTCGGTCAAAATTTTGCGTTCATGGCATCTAAAAGTTCATTTTAGACAGTTTTTCCGTTACTTTAAAAACCGTTGCTTCTTTTACATGGTCTGTTAAAGTCCAATTCAGTCATAAAATCAATCAGACCTCGAAATATACCTGGATTTTGTGATTCCCTACTTTCGTCATGTTCACGTAATGCAAATTCACACTCCACTAAATTTTATGTACATTATCAATGGGCGTAATATATGGCGATTTTTGTCGACCTTACGTTATGTCTGAATATTATTAATATAGGCGGTGTGTAGTTATTACCGAATGTTTGTATTACCGAGAAGATTATCCAAGAATATTTATCATACGTGTTCGCGCAGAATGAAAATTAAAACCTGCGATAGTAACTCAATCCTGCCGAGCACTGTCGGAATGGGACCGCCAGTCCAGGTGAATCAATCAAGCGACTAGGTTTTCATGGCAGCAGTGTAAACAAAACGTTTAAATCAGCCATGATTCGGTGTTCGTTCCCGGCTTTTATCAGCATTTCATCAGAAATAACATATCATATATCCAAGACACATCTTTAGATGTAAGTGGAAGTAAGTTTTGATACAGTTTATACAGGTGGAGCGAGATAAAAAAAATTAGTTTTGATAATCATGACACAAATTTCCGGCTAATTTTTTAAATATTGAAAATTACTATTTTGCTATGTCCAGTGTGTTTGTAGACATTGTAATTTTGGGGGAGCACGTGCCCTTGTGGCTCCCGGCACCAGCCACCCCTGTATTACAATGTTGAAGAGTGTCATATTCCTGATGGTGATTCTGTCTTTCAAGACAAAAGTAACTATAAATTTATTCAATTTGATTCAATTAACCAAAGAGAAGTGGATAATGTAAGATATTGCAAAGCTCTAAATTTAAAGTTATAAAGAATGGCACAAAAATACAAAAACTGTTTGGGAAAATTAAAAGACCTTGAAGTAGAAAACAAAAAAAACTCTGAATCGTCAAAATTGTTACGAAGACTTTATGACGACGCAGTCAAAAAGAAAAAACCAAAATGGGATATTTCTTTTACATGTTCTTAAAAATTATACTCGAAAGGTTCCCCGATTCTGTGCGATTCTAAAACTGAAACACCAATAGTTCCTTGAAATTCTTTCAACGAGCGAAGTGAGCTACATTATGGTACTTCTGAAAATAATACACTAATAGTCTCCGAGATTCTTTCAGTGAGTGCAGCGAAATGTATTGTACTTCTAAAAATAAAACACCAATGGAACTTTCCGAATCTTTCAGAGACCGAAGTGAATCATTGTATTTCTAAAAGTAAAACACCAATGGTTTCTTAAGATTCTCCCAGCGAGTGAAGCGAGCTGCATTTTGGTAGTTCTAAAAATGAAACACCAATGGTTCTTTAAGATTTCTCTTCTTTCAAAGCGAGCTCTATTATGGTACTTCTAAAAACAAAACACAAATAGATCCCCGAGATTCTTTCAGCGGGTGAAGAGAGCTATAGTATAGTACTTCGAAAAATAAAACACCAATGGGACCTCCAGAATCTTTCAGAGACCGAAGCGAGCTGTATGATGGTACTTTAAAATTAAAATACCAATGGGACCCCTTTGCAAGTACTAGCTCCGCCCATCCGTCCTTCATTTTCTTAGAGGGTATGTCATTCGCCAAAATCAGTTTTGTCTTAGCAACTACTAGTACCGCCCACCCGCCCTTTATTTTCTTAGAGGGTATGTCATTCGCTAAAATCAGTCTTATCTTAGCAAGTACTAGCCCCGCCCACCCGCCCTTTATTTTCTTAGAGGGTATGTCATTTGCCAAAATGAGTCTTATCTTAGGAAGTACTACGAACTATAGTATATGCAAGTGAAAGAGTCTGCAATAAAGACGCGTGATCAGCGCGTCTTCAACTGCCTAACCGACAAATTTGGTGAAGGGTTTTTCCCAAGCCAGTTTTACACTGTACCGATATTTCATTGCCGATGCGTTTCATTGTTGACTCATCCCTTGCGTTGTGTCGTCTCCTTGCTTTCGTAGTTTGTATTTTTGCTTGTTTTTATGCTTGTGACCGCCATCAAGACGGATGTTGGAAACATTATTTTGTCAAAACCAAAACTTAAAATTTCTCTACAGTGTAACACGGGCTATGTGCAGTAATCTTACGCGCACTCGGCTCCAGAATGCATCATGCAGGTTTCACGTGATCACTGACTCTTTCGTTTGAACAGGGTATAGAGGGTATGTAATTCGCCAAAATCAGTCTTATCTTAGCAAGTACTGGCCCCGCCCACCCGCCCTTTATTTTCTTGGAGAGTGTCATTCGCCAAAGTCAATCTTACCTTAGTAAAATAAGATTGGAGATTTAGTTCTCCAAAAGGATGTGAATTTGGGAGAAAACATTTATCAAAATTATCGACCAAAATTACAATTTCGCGTTACTTCAAGGCCTTTGATGGAACATCGGAGTTGATAAAAGAAAGATTACAAGCTGAAATTGCCAATTTAAAAAATCCTAAAAAAATTGTATACCCTTCAAAAATATTTGCGTATAAAGCCTGCTAGACATTTTTAACAAAAAAGCATTTATGGCCAACAAATTTTGAAAGTATTCAAACAAAAATTTCAAGATGCTAATGGTACCGTTAAATGTAGTGACAAATGTATAATTTTTTTCAAGTACCTACGCAACATAACGGGTGTCTTTTATTTGATACAACCCCTGTAACTTTTTTATTTTTAAAGATAAATATGTAGTCCTTTGAACAAATTTGTATCATTTTAAAAGATCTGTGTAATGGCAACTTTTTTTTAATTTTTTTTCAAGCAACTATAGATTGTGAATTAAACGGAAAATTTTTGAGATATTTTACTAAATATTCATTATTGATTTTAGAATATTGGTTGCTTTTGATTTTTTGTAGTAACAAAATCAATCTTTCCATTTATGAAAAAATATACGTAGTGTTCGATTAAAAAAAAATAAGGTTACGTAATTTCCGGTTCTGTGGTTACCATCACATAGATCTTTTAAAATGCTACAAATTTGCTCAAAGAACTACAGGTTTATCTTAAAGAATAAAACAGTTACAAGGGTTGTATCAAATAAAAGAGACACCCTATATATAGTAGAAACCATTACATTAAATCCCTGGACAGCACTATCGCACGATATGTAGATATTTCGGACGAACGATTAAAAAGGTTGAATGTTACTTTTCCAAATTGTATCACAGATATTCAAAATTCATCGTTATCAGTTGGTCTACAGAGTCTAATACAGGAGACTGCTCACGCTTTAACATTTACAGCGAAAACTATAATAATAACCAGTTATCTTTCTTCATATTAGGGATCCGTTCTTATTATTTTTTTTTTTTTTTTTTTTGAAATATGTTGACTAGTATTCGTACATAATTTTTCCCAACGGATAGAAGAGCTGAACATCTTTGGAATTTATCATTTCATTTTTATTCTACACATCACCAAGTAGTTTTGTTATTCCATCTTGGATTTATGCTTTTCTATGTGTTCTTTAGTAATGTAAATAGATATAGTCTTTGCCATTTCTATTGAAACACCACTTGTTGATCGTAAATTTGGCAACGTTCATATTCAGACAATTTTCTAACTAAAAGCCGTTGTCAATCAACCGAAAACTGTTAGCAATTGCTAAATTTTAGGCAAAATCAACAGGTGGTGTTTCAATAGAAATGGTAAAGACTATATGTAATATTTTTGCGTCCTTTTGACACTTTTGAAATACAAATGTTTGCTATGTCAATCATAGTAAGAAAAATTAGTATCGACAGAAGGTGTTAGTTAAGCCCCAAATTTTTGAGGTTAGTAGAATAAATTTCAACAATGGAAATGAACATATTGTGACGGGCGTACAGAGCGCAGTGGAGGCAGATTAAGTTGACGGTGAAATAAAAATGTAACAAGCGCCATCTAGATAGTATTCTAGAAATAAAATCGTAATAGGCACCATCTATCGAGTGTTCTACAGATAGGCAGTAGAAAAATCTATAGAATTATTAAAAAGTTAAAAATGTCTTCAAAAAGAAAATCCAAGTGTAAACCACAGAAAGAGCAAAAAGCAAAAGTGGGGAGGACCATAGGATTAAGAGGATAGTAGGATGGAAGAAAGGAATGGGGTATTGAAACTAGTTTGTTCATTCACACAAATTAGTTTATGATCTCTAACTGCTTTATAAGTTTCAAGAATTTCGAAAAAAATGAGAGTGGTGCTTTTTGAAAGGAATGTTCAAATTCTAAAATGTGCTTGGCAAAATCTGAATTTTTGTTAGTTATACCAGTGCTTGAATACTGAGTAATTAATTTATTGTGTTCTTTAATTCTAAGGGAAATATTTCGGCCTGTTTGTGATTAGAAATTGGTATGAATTTATGAGAGAGTTTATGTTGATATACAGGGTGATTTCGAAATATATGCAATAATTCTAACCACGGCATCACGTACCGAAGTAATGTGTAAATATAGAAAAAACAACTTCCACATCTAGTCGCTCTTCCAGTACATTATTTAAAAACTCGAGGAACTGTGCAGCCTTTAGTCTGTTTGTAAAACATAAGGTTCAACTAAACGGTCATTTACGATACCGGCCTGTCGTTGAAATTGTATTTCTTGACGAGCATGTGGATTTTCATCCGACCAAATGTGAGTGTTGTGGCTGTTGAAAACAGCATTGCGAGTGAATCCTGCTTCATCGGTAAACAGAATACAATTTAAAAAGTTAGGACCTTCACGACACGAATTGGAAATTCACGATTGTTAAAGACGTTAACCGAACACACGACGGCAACTAACTGTCTCTTATCGTGTTTTTACATGTTGCTTATCAATGCGCCACTTTTTTGATTTTTAATTCTATTCGTTCTGTGCCATTCAGTAAATAGTACACTATCAGTGGTATACATATTTAATTTCAAATATTTTTTTCTAGACATTGCCACCACTTAGGAACGTGAATTTTACACAGTGCAATAAATATTATTGTGAGCTATTTCCATTTTTTTTTATTGCACACATTTCGAAATCGTCCTGTATAAAAGATTTTCATAACTAGGTATAAGGGAAATTTATTATTAATGGTAATTTGTTTAATGATACCAAGTTAACTCTCAAAGACTTCATAGTTTAGGGAAATGTGGAATAATAATCTAAAGAATAAAGAATTAAATTCTGCGAATTTATGGGATAAGGGGTGAAAGAGGATCAAGGTATGTAAATATTACAAGAAAATTAATGGTTGGGCATCTCTTTTGTATCGCTTGGTTTTTCTTTTTCAAAAGATTTTTCATTTTTTAATAAGAACTGAATTACTAGATTTGATAATTCTGTAAGATTCACTTTTTTTCTCAAACCGCTTATCCTCCACTCTTCAGATTCTCCCCTTCGACGACAACCTTTGCGTCCGAGAACCCTGCCTCAACTACGAAGAATGTCTCACGGTGCTGAAGTTCGGCAACGCGTCAGATTTTATCAGCAGCGACACCGTTCTCTTCAGGCCGATCTACCCAGTGACGACGTTCACGTGTCAGTGCCCCAAAGGATTCACAGGTTCACGGGAACATTATTTATGCGACACAGAAGTAAACCTGTGCTATTCATCACCTTGTCAGCATAACGGGACTTGCAAGGTTCGAGAAGGTGGTTACACTTGTGTTTGTGCTCACGGCTACACGGGAACGAACTGCGAGTTGAAACTCACCGACGATTACTGTAATCCCAATCTATGCAAAACGGGAAGTACATGTAATCCGAAAAACGGCAAATCGTTTGTGTGCGAGGAGTGTTCGCTGGATACGGGGTCCGAGCACTATACGTCGTTGTGCGAGTTGAAGACAAGGAGTTTTACGAAGAGCTCGTTTTTGACGTTTCCGAGTTTGAAGCAGAGGCATCGGTTGCATTTGAGGTTGAGGTAAGTGGTGGCGTTCAAAGGAATAAAATTGTGTACTACGTTGTTCATAACTTTCCCTAAAACACGTGATATGAAATTTCAGGTTCGCCACCCAATCCCGCAACGGCTTACTCCTATACAACGGCCGCTATAACGAACTCCACGACTTCATTTCATTAGAAATCATCAACGATCAAATCCAGTTCTCCTTTTCTCTCGGTAGTAATGTGACAAAAGCCGTCGCTTCAATACCAGGCGGGATTTCTGACGGCAATTGGCATTCAGTCGACGTATCCTACTTTAATAAAGTAATAAACTAACTCAGTTTACGAGCTCAGCTAACATCACCCATTTCAGTCCGTCACTGTATCCATCGACGACTGCGACACCGCCTTGGCCTTGAAACACGGAAAGGACTTAGGCGGAAAGTGGGCATGCGCAGGTTTCGCCGAGTACCAATTGGAACCACGGTGTGCCTCTCTCACCGAAACGTGTCACAGGTTTCTAGATCTCACAGGACCACTACAACTTGGAGGTTTACCGTCGTTGTCCGCCAATTTCCAGACGAGGAATCGACACTTCGAAGGGTGCATCTCTGACTTTGAAGTCGATTATAAGTTCGTCGATTTAAATACGTACGTTTTGGTTTTAGTTTGAGGAGTGAACGTGTCATTTTTGCTTGTAGGTTTGTAACTGATAATGGTACTTCACCTGGGTGTCCGGAGAAACGCTCATTTTGCACATCCAGCCCTTGTAAAAATGGTGGTGTTTGTAGAGAGGGATGGGCAATGTTTCGTTGTGTGTGTCCAGGGGGGTACGGCGGAAGAGACTGCGGGGAGATGATAAGCCAGCCGTGGCACTTTTCGGGGGATGGTACTCTTTCGTTTAACCCATTGTTGCGACCCATACAGTTACCGTGGTTGAACGCTTTGTCTGTGAGGACGTTACAGAAAGACACGTTTTTGATGTCGATTCAAGTTGGTCAGAATAGCTCGGCTGTGATTTCTTTACAAAATGGGTTCCTTCTGTATTCATACAACGGCGAATCTTTCTCTCTCTCAACTAAAGATTTATCGAATGGAGAGTGGCACCACGTTGAGATTACGTGGGTCGGCACTGAAATTAAGCTCTCGATAGATTATGGTGAACACACTTCCATCGTTCAATTTACAGAAAAAATCCAGGGTTTATACATCGGAAAAATTTTAATCGGGGGCCCCGACAACTCCTACAGTAGTTTAAACGCAGGCTTTAACTACCTCGAAGGGTGTATCCAAGACGTCCGCATCGGTACGCAACAAACCACCCTCAACCGCCCCACTGTGAAAGAGAACGTCGAAGACGGCTGTCCTTCTCTAACAGAGTGTCAAAGCGATTGTCCAGCCACCTCAAAATGTATAACCAAATGGGGCCGTTCCTCCTGCGAGTGTTACGAAGGCCACGTCGGCCCTCTCTGCGTCCCGGTTTGCACCGTGAGCCCGTGCGAGCGCTCCAGCACTTGCGTCGAAACCAAAACCAGAAGAGGCTACACCTGCCACTGCAATTCCACCGAGTACTCGGGCGACTACTGCGAGAACAAAGTGGCCCAACCGTGCCCCTCCAGCTGGTGGGGGTACCCCGTGTGCGGCCCATGCCACTGCGACGTAGAATTCGGTTACAACCCCGACTGCGACAAAAGCAATGGCCAGTGTAGTTGCCGAGAAAACCACTACCAGCCCAAAGGCACCACGAAGTGCATTCCCTGTGACTGCTATCACGTGGGGTCGTTCAGCACGCAGTGCGACCACGAAACGGGTCAGTGCAGGTGTCGGGATGGTGTCATAGGGCAGAAGTGTGATTCTTGTCCGAACACGTATGCCGAGGTTACGCTGCAAGGGTGTGAGGTGATTTACGATGGGTGTCCGAGGAGTTCGGCTGACAAGATTTGGTGGCCGAGGACGGTGTTTGGGGTGGAGGCGGTAGAGAATTGTCCGAAAGGAGCGCTGGGGAAGGCGTCGAGGATTTGTGATGATGATCTAGGGGGTTGGCAGGAGCCGGATTTGTTTAATTGTACGTCGGATAGGTTCGTGGAGTTGAGGGAGCAGCTGAGTAACATAGAGAAGGGAGATTTGTTGTTGAATACGTTTGTGGCTATTAAGTTGGCGTCGGATCTTTATAAGGCGACGAATGTCACACCGACGCTTTATGGGGCTGATGTGTTGGTGGTTTTTGATTTGGTTAAGGAGCTGCTGATGTATGAGTCGAGGATGCATGGGCTTAATTTGACGCACAGTCAGGATAAGGACTATATTCACGTAAGTGTATTTTTTTTAAGTTGTACTACTGCTGACTCAGAAATTTAATATCAGAAGTTATTCAGCTTACGACTCTCTAACAAAATTGTTATATTAATCCCCACCAAAAGAATTATTAATAAAATGCGTAGTAAAACAAATGTGACAAACATAAAAAAAGAGTGCATCGGCCCAGGGACGCATGGATGGAGTTTTAACTCTGCGTTATCAATTTATATAAATTAAACACGTATATGCGACGAAGTCATTATTTTCTCTTAAAAAATAATAAATACCAAAAATAATTAATGATGATGATTGGGTTAATTAAAGTAAATATCCATGTATTGCCAATTGTTGTTTATTATAAAATATACTTTTTTTATTTATTTATCACTAGCTTTTCGCCCGCGGCTTCGCTCACGTAGACAATTCGTTGTGTTGAAGAGCATTATTATCAACCTTCAAGTAAAAAGTGCGTTGAAGGACATTAATACAATTTCCAGTAAAAATCGACATAAAAAAAATGTTTGCTCATAAAAGCTTTGTCACCCCCTTTCATCTTCTTAGGGGTGAAATCTCGAAACAATCTGAAATACATGTTTCATTATTTGTGTTGAAGAGTGTTAATACCAAGTTCCCCGTAAAAATTTAAATTTCCAGTAGAAATATTTTTCCCATACAATCTCAAACACCACTTTTCACCCCCTTAGGGATTGAATCTCAGAAAATGTTTAAATACGTGTTTCATTATTTGTGTTAAAGAGCATTAATTTAATATCAAGTCACGCAAAAATTTAAATTTACAATAGAAATACTTTTCCTATACAAACTTAACCAGTACTTTTCACCCCCTTTGGGGTTGAATCTCGGAAAATGCTTAATTACGTGTTCCACTATGCATTAATACTAAATTCCATGTCAAAAATTTACAATAGAAATAATTTTCCGATATAAAGTTAGCCACCACTTTTCACCCCCTTAGGGGTTGAATCTCGGAAAATGTTCAAATACGTGTTTCATTACTTGTGTTGAAGAGCATTATTACCAAGTTTCACGTAAAAATTTAAATTTATAGTAGAAATATTGTTCCTATACAAACTTAGATACCGCCTTTGGGGTCGAATCACCGAAAATGCTTAAATACGTGTTTCGTTATTTATGTTGAAGAGCATTAATACCAAGTTTTAAATAAACATCACCTCAAAATTTACAATAGAAATATTTTTCGCATACAAAATTAGCCACCACTTTTCACCCCCTTAGGGGTTGAATCTCGGAAAATGCTTAAATACGTGTTTCACTATTTGTGTTTAAAAGCACTAAAACCAAGTTTCACGTGAAAATTTAATTTTACAATGAAAATATTTTTCCCGCACAAAGTTAGCCAGTACTTTTCACCCCCTTCGGGGTTGGATCTCGGAAAATGCTTAAATACGTGTTTCATTATTTGTGTTAGAGAGAATTAATGCGAAGTTTCACGTAAAAATTTAAATTTACAATAGAAATATTTCCACACAAACCTAGCCACCATATTTCACCCCCTTAGAGGTTGAATCAGGGAAAATGTTTAAATACGTGTTTCATTATTTGTGTCGAAGAGCATTAATACCAAGTTTCACGTAAAAATTTAAATATACTCGTACAATGGAAATATTTTCCCATATAAACTTAGCCTTCACATTTCACCCCCTTTGGGGTTGAGTTTTAGAAAATGCTTAAAGACGGGTTTCATTATTTGTGTTGAAGAATATTAATACCAAGTTTCACGTAAAAATTTCAATTTATAGTAGAAATATTGTTCCTATACAAACTTAGCCGCCCAAACTTAGACACCACTTTTCACCCTCTTAGGGGTCGAATCTCCGAAAATGCTTAAATACTTCTATTGAAGAGAATTAAAATGTACCAGGTTTCACGTAACAATCTAAATTTACAGTAAATATATCGGTCCTACACAAATTTTATCACCCCTTTTTAACCCTCCTAGGGGATGAATTTCGAAAAATCCTTTCTTAAACGATGCCTCCAGTATAAAATGAGCATTCTCTCCTAATTTCAACTTTCTATCATTAGCAGTTTGGGCTGGGCGTCGATAGGTCAGTCGGGACATTGCCCTTTATATTAAAGATATAGAGATATCATAATTAATTATTATAGTAACATTGTATACAAAACATTAAAGTACAATGTGTAATTTACCAACTCAAGTAAAGATTTAAAATACAAATTACTGCGTTATCGCGGTGTCTTTATCCTTATTGTTTAATACAGTTATTAGTGGCCTATGGTGACTAAAATGAGTGATGTAAATATCAGTTCTTAAATGAGTAATAAAGCGTGTGAAAACGGCATTAATTGTTGTACCTAATTTAGACGTTAGAACAGTCAAACGAACACATTTTATTAAATAGTTAGGTACTTATAGAGGATATTATTTGTTAAGATTTGCAGATATCTACAAAAAAAATCAACATTACTTGCTTAAACTTGTTGTGACTTTTCTCAGTTTCTGGTGGTTCACTGTCACTACTATCCATTGTCACAATAATGCTATTATGAAAAAAATATGTATATACACAACAGTAAAACAGTTACGACATAATATTCTTTCTATGAATACTAGACAGCGGATGGGCGTCGGGTTAGGCAACGTCAAACTCTGTACGACTCGTACGGGATGAGAATTCATGACAGTTACCGGCTGCACTTCGTTATTTGAGAATAGAATAACGTTGCTTCGTTGCATTCTGCTGTTAATTCCCGTCCTCAGGTACTAATTACATTTTCGTTAATTGTATTTATGGAAAAAGTGACGATTAAATTCAATGATTATCATCCGCTACCAAGTCCCGCCCATCCAGCGCGTCATTTGTGACGGCACAATAACAGCTGGGTAAGCGAAATAAAGATCAAACGCTCTGTAGCCTAGTGGTCAAGGCACTTGCCCGGCAAACGGGGTATGTGCGGTTCGATTCCGCACCAGAGCAGCAAACATTTTTTCTTCACTTACTTACATGGGTGACCCCCGACGTGTTTGTTTTCGGTTAGAGCTACACATTCACACCAGTTTATCTCTTTCTCTAGCGCGGCGTTACATGCCTATGTTCAGACTCAGTTCAGACTGGTGTCGGTGTCGGTACGGAAAAACGTTAGCTCGGACTCGACATCCTATTCCGGCGCGCGTCGTATACGTGTTCTATAATAGGGAAAGAAAGGAGTTAAGACTCTAAAATATTGAATTAACAGAAATCAATGAACAATTTTTTATATTAAACAAAATTTTAGAACATCGTAAATTCGGTTGGCGTGGTTTTGGACGAAAAATACCAACGCCACTGGAACAGAATTAAGCAGCTTACTGGAGAGGGCGCAGACCATTTAATCGGCTACATAGAAAATTACATAAACATACTATCCATAAGCCAGCACGATACCTACACAAACCCATTCGAAATCGTGTCCCCAAATATGAGTAAGTTTGCCCTCTTCAACTAAAACAATTTTAACTTTGAATTGAATTCAGTTCTCGGTTTGGACGTCGTCACTCCTGAATCTCTGTACGGCTACGAACCAGACACCATTCCGGCAGTATCCAAAGACCATACTTTTACAACCGAAAGGGTAATCTTACCCGACACTTCCCAATTTTTACAAGACAACTCCCAGAAATCGTCCGGTCCATTGGTAGCTTTCCCGAAATACAACAACTATTTATTGGACAAAGCCAAGTTCGATCAAAACACTCGGGTTTTAATCCCGCTCAAACTACTAGGGATCAAACCCGTCGAACACGGCCAACTAATAACAAAACACACCTTACCCGAAGTGGGGGCAGTTGTAAGCTACGCCCAGTATAAACAAGCAAATTCTTTAATGCCGCAGAAGTATGACGACTCTGTTGTGAGGAGATGGGGTGTTGACATCACCATCGGCTCGCCACTGATTTCTGTGGGTGTTCTCGTACCAGAATATGTGGATGCAGTGGTTAAAACAACGACGGAAAGAAATGTCGTATTTGAGGACGTCAGACTTCCCGAAATCGATCTCTCGGAACAAGATATGTTTCCAAAGAAAGCACTCACTGAACCGGAAGTGAAGATGCACGAGAATGATCCCATTTATCTGCGATCTCGGCAAAGACGTGATAATAACCTCAGTAGAAAACTGCTATATAGAAGTTTGTCGGGTATTGTTTTAAAGATACCAGTGAAGTTACAAATTTGGTTGGACTCGAACAAAACTCTGTTTAATGAGAGGTCAAATCCGCAGTGCGTGCATTGGTCTACTATTAGAGGGTAAGACAATATGGTGTAAAAACTTTTTTTAATTTAAATTAATTGGGTTCTAGGTTTGGGGAGTGGTCACGGGTGGGTTGTCGCACTGAGATTGGTGAGGACTGGTTTGACACGTACGATAAAACACCACTTATAGTGAATTGTACTTGCAATCATTTAACGACGTTCGCGGTGCTTGTAGATGTTGTCGATTTAGAGGTAAGTAGAAATTGAGTGAAAGTGTGACTATTAAATAAATAATTATAGTATATTCCTGAACCGTCTCTACTGGAAGATATTTCAAGCTATAGTTGTTTTGCCATCTCTTTGCCCTTATTGCTTGCGGCATATCTTATTCTAGCGCTTATCCGTGGCTTACAAACGAATTCAAACACCATAAGAAAGAATTTAGTTTTGTGTGTTTTTCTTGCCGAGTTGTTATATTTTATAGCTTTAAAGGCGCGAAAACCGATGGTTAGTAGCGACGTAAGTATTGCTTGATTTATAAATTCGTGAAATTAAGATTTTGTGGTTGTAGCTTCCGTGTAAACTGGTGGCTATTGGTTTACACTATTTATGGTTGGCATCTTTTTTCTGGATGTTAGTTGATGCTCTTCATTTGTACAGAATGCTCACAGAAATGCGTGATATTAATCATGGACCAATGCGTTTTTATTATAGCATGGGATATGTGATACCAGCAGTAGTGGTTAGTTTGGCCGTTGGAGTTAGAGCACACCAATACGGAAATTATTATTTGTAAGTTTAAGTTATTACTTCACATTAGTGTAAGTGCGCAAATGAACACTTTCCTGGTATATTTCAGTTGCTGGGTTTCCCTCTACGAAAGCGTGATATGGAGTCTAGTCGGCCCAATTTGCCTTCTAGTACTGATCAACCTGTTTATATTAATAATGGCGATTCGAGCCGCGTTTACACTACAAGATCACGTACTAGGTTTTGGAAATTTAAGAACTTTGCTGTGGGTGTCAGTGGTAGCCCTACCATTACTTGGAGCCACTTGGATCCTTGCTGTTTTAGCAGCCTCTGAACGTCACCCTCTACTGACGCCATTTTTATCAGCGGCTGTTTTAATACACGCTGCGTTTTCATTGGCTGGTTATTGTTTCGCCAATAACCGAGTGAGACAAAACCTACTTAGATCGATAATGCGATGTATGGGTAAAAAAGTACCACTTTTGGAAACCACCTCAGTGGTGGGTGTACCCAGTACGAGTAGCCAAAATATTACAAGTCAATCGGTAAGGGTACTATTTTCACAACTATTTTTTGTTTAATATAAATGTCACAGAGGTCGGCACTGGCTTACCACTCAACTCTAGACCCAACTCGTCGCAATATTGGCATATCAACGTCTAGTACCACCTCAAGATCCACCACCAAAACAAGCTCTAGCCCCTACAGGTAACTCTCAAACTATCTTGAATCAAATTATAACTCAGTCTTACAGAAGCGACACTCATTTAAGACACACTTCTACTAGTACTTCAAACTATAACTCAACCAGCGATGTACCGTCATACATGAGAGGTTTTGAGCACGAAACCGGGCTACACAGACACAGAGAACCACCAGAGGCTACCGAACGTCGTGAACGTAGAGCCGATAGCGACTCAGATTCCGACGGTTCAGAAGGACGAAGTTTAGATTTAGCGTCTAGTCATTCAAGTGATGATGATGAATCTAGTACAAGAAGACACAGAAATAGAGGACCATCTGCCCGACAGGGATATCTTCCAAACATTACAGAACACGTAGTTTCACGATGTGGAACTCCACCGTCACTTAACGTCAACAATTCCCAACTGTTTCCATCAGTGCAATCCGGTTATGGTTCCAGATGGTCCAGTCAGTTGCCGGAGGCATACTTGCCCAACCCAAATGGTAATTGTGTGGACTCATACACAATCAACCACTATATGTTGTAACTTTTAGTTCCAGAAGTTGGAAGGTGGTCAGCAGAAACCGGTTCAGACAATGAGTTCTGTCATAAAACTAATTCGCCTAACCCACTGCCAAACCCCGACGTCACTCCCGAAACATGCCTGCCAACTCTACAGTCAGAACAGTACATGGTTCGCACACATTATGACAATCACTACAACCCGAACAGTCAAGGTTACAAAAGCGATTATTTATCAAAGATGATGCACCATGATAACATGAATTTCCAAGATTATGCGGAAAGAGGCTCAGACGTTGATGATAAGCATCACATGAACGATAAATATCTCTTCCCCTATACAGGTAAATTGTTTTATTAAAGTTTGCTTATCTTTTATGCTTTTTTTAATTATTACATGCTAGACGATACATACATAGGTTTGTATTGACAAATTTGAGTGTTTTTGTGGTATTTTCATGTGTTGTTTCAGCTGAGGAGGATCACGTGACGAGTCACAACAATTACATGCATCCGCAGAGTCGGATTATGTCTCCAGTGTCGAACGATATTAATAATCCGGGAATGGAGTACCATGGTTCGCACATGGGTTCCCGTATGGGTTCAGTGCTTGGGTCGATTCATGGTTCGGTTTGTGGGAGCGTTAGAGGATCGCCTTCTCCTCTAATGCCTCCCGTGTCCATGATACATTCGACTCATCCTCCAGAACCTCCACAGTAAGTTTTTGTTTATTCAAACCACATCTAACTGACTTTCGTCTATTCATTAACAATGCTAGCTGGTGTTGGGAATACAGCATTAACAAGTAAAAAAGTGGGTTTGGTGAGTGTGCATTAGTTGACTTGCATATTAATGTGAACTTTCGTTTTTGTCAGGAAGGAAGACAAGAATGAAGAAACGTCTGTCTGATGGAGGGTAATTTAGTTCATGTACAAATTGGTTATTTATTGTTGTGTTTTTTTTTTATATAAGTTTTATCGTTTTGTATATGTTCATCCACTGAAAGACTGTAAGTATAATCGTAACAATCTATGACATTCCGAATTTATTTAGTAAATGAGCTTTACTATACTGTATTTAAAATTATAGGTAATCCTTGTATGTCTACAAATTGCCATGGTTTTATTATTTAAGTTAAATATAGTATTTAAAGTAGATTTAATAGATTGATTAGCCATCAGAGGAGAAGACTAAGATATTTTTAAGCCATAAATTATCATTTCGTTTGCGAAAAAATCGAAAATATTTTTGTGTAAATTTTGTATGAAACCTGTGCCTAAAAAGCTTTTTTATATGGAAGTTTTCATTTTTTGTATAAATGTTTGTATCACTAAGGATATTTTGTAAGATCTCAGTATTTATTTAGCTTAGGGATTTTGTATATCACTTCTATGAACGTACTCAACTAGACGTACTTTTTTATCGTTTTGACTGTGCAATCAATTTTCATACATTCCATTTTTTTATACATTTTTGTACACTATTGTGATTTTTTTATTTTATTAAACTGTCTCAGAAAACGGTGTGTGTATTTATTTTTATCTTCAAATTTGAATTAAATGGAGAACTATTTGCATTTCGCGCGTAATCATTTCATCTGGTAGTTATAAATGTTCAAGGTCAATGTTGTACGTACCCTCTCTAGATCGATTTGATTACCACTGTAAATATTGAGGACCTCTGAGTTTAATTTTTTTTTTATTTACTTCAAAACACAAATTAATTATTTGAATTGTGCAGCGTAGCATTGATCCACTTGTTTAAAAAAATCTGGCGTAACCGGTAGAGGATTTTAGTAACTTTCGCCATAAGGTTGGGAAACTCTGCATAAAAATGTGACTTATTCTACGTCAAATTACGTCATCCGTCAGCATCGGCTGCTGGTTGTGGTAACCTTCAACTTCGTTGTGAAACAATTTGATCTTTTCAATTCAAAATGGATTTATTTACATCGAAATCCTCGTGCAGTGCGGACGATAATGTGTGTTCCAAATGTACTCAAAAATCCTATGCCAGCTTTTAAAAAACCTTCTGGCTTTGTTTTCAACAATGACTAACAGTTCTAGTGGTGACTACAATTCGAACAGCATCTCGGCGTACGCCTTCAAGCCCTTCCAGTATGAAGAAATCAAACCGAACTCGAAGAGTAAAGTGCCTTACCCCAGAAGCGGCCATCGAATAGGTGCTGATGCAGCCAGTCTTTACTCTTTCGGAGGATACAACCCTTTAATTGACGACAGCGACAATGACGAGGTTTGGGTGCACTCGTACCCCCTTTTCCAAGAACTGTGGAGGTTTAATTTCGCCAAGAGGGAATGGACCAGATACCCAAATAGCCATTCGTTGCCTCTTGAATTAGCATCAAATGCCTTAATTCTCCACAAGAACGTCTTAATGGTATGTGACTTGACTCGGATTTTGGGTTGTTCAAACGTGATTGTAGGTGTACGGGGGGACAGGATCTCCGTTTGGTTTTCGTTGCAGTAATCAACTGTTTGTGTGTCGTGTTAATGACAATGAAGGCCTTATGGATGAGGTACATACTACAGGACAACTGCCTTTACCTGCTTATGGACAAGCTTTAATTCTTCACAATGATTATCTGTACACCATTGGAGGAACTACAGGTGTTCAGTACACATGTGATATTCACAGGTAAATTAAGTTTAGTAATTCCTCATAATATGTAAAAAGTAGGTTCCCTAGAGTCAAGGTTAATAACTAAAATTGGCCAGAGATTTATTTCAAGGTTTTCATTAAAGAGAAAGTAGTTTGGTGCTGATGAAGTTTACCAGAAAAAATTGCACAAGTATCAATACACGCAGAATTTTTTTGCCAAAAATGACACCTTAATCTCTCAAAATGTTAACATTTTTGTAAAATAGTAACAACCTTGAATTAGCACAGCATAATCTAACGAAAATTAAATTACCTCATCTATAACATATTTTTAAAAAGAACAATTTGCCAAAATGCGTTCTTTTTTGTTTTTGTCTTATTTTAAGACCCGCTGGATGACGATACAAGTGTTTACTTTAGAGAGATGCAATAATATTATATTTAGACTCCATTAAGATAACTCTGCGGTATTTTCGCATGACAAACCTCTTGCATAACAATTTCAACGTTTAATCAACAATCATCTAGCGAAAGTACTTTTGATCAGAATGTTTTGTTACCGCGGTGACCGAATGCCCCAGCATATTGTTCACATTCATATTCTAAACAGGGAAGTTGCAACTGCAATGTGTGCTAATCTGGTTAGGGTTATTAAATATGCACTATAATTAATTTATGATAAACATTAATACTAACTTTATGTGATGATTTATTAAGGTTATAACAATTATGAATCAAGTGCAGTAGCAAACAGTGAAAGTTTAAGGTCGAGAACGTTATACAATACACCGAATTATATTGCTTTATGGTGTTTGTATTGTTCACGTTGTCATAAAAACTACTTATTTATATTTATTACAGACAGAAACGACTTAAGTATATCGGGTGATTCGTTTAAGATTCAAGTTTTGAACTCGAAATATTTGTGGTGTGGCGTAATATTTATTTACCGTAAAATAAGTACACGCCTTCCAATTGGCGTCCTACCTCAACGATTACAAATGCATTTTTTAAGAGTAAATCTTTATGTTAAAATCATGAAACTGCGCTTTCTCAAAACGATAATGCAATTCACATTTACTGCCTTAGTGTGTGTGAATTTGTAACAGTGTTAACTTTCCCGTGATTAAGTAAGAAGTTGCCGAATTTTTTATTGAATTATTAATACTAGTACTAGTTTTCCCAAGTGTCTACAGAAATTATGTTATTTATAATATCACCAACGTGATTGCTTTGTTTTATTTTTAAGTAATCTGTTCATTATCAAAACAGTCGAAAAGTTAACTAGAAAAATCGGTTTAATTTGTTAAACAAGACAATTAAAATACCTTTTTAATATTGTACATATCTTATCTACATGTAAAAATTTAACGACTACACGGAAATCTGAGTCCCTTGATGATAACCATTATCAAATTAATAGTATTGATATTATTGATAAGTGTTTGAAGTGCCGACTATTTTATTGTCCAAATAAATGAAATATTTAATGCAACAAAAAATTGATCGTAAATAAGGAATCAAATAAAAAATTAAATATGTATTTAATATTTAATTTTATATCGTCTCGACGTTTCATTTTTTTTAAATACGTTTGTTGTGCTTTAAAGGCAAGGAAGGTTCTATATAACATTATATGTAAATAAACTGCTGTGTGTTTATTTAATGATAAAAATAAAATATAATTTTGTTTGTAAATAATCCCGTATCTAAAAAAAAAGCTTTGTTTTATTGCAAACAGTATACAGGGACGTTAAATTCTAATTTACATTAATTAGAATAAATAAAACAAATCACTACAATTTTGCAGACGTGAATACAATTTAAAAGACATTACTCACTAAATTATTCATAAAACTAAAATTTTCTTAACGATTTAGAAACATTATTGATGACTCCATAAGCAAAAATTAACTCGAGGTTATGTATATAAAATTAAAAATAAATTACGAAATGAGAGTGCAAAATTAACTGCAAAAAAAACTATATTTTCGTAATAGTGTAAATAATTTATATATTTTTAAACGATGTTGAATAAGATTTTTGTAACATGTATTAACATTTTTTTTAATAGTGATGTTATTAACAATAATAATAAATATTCATTATGTGTTTTATAAGAAGAGATAAGAATTAATTGCACCAAAGTAAAAAAACAATAATCAGAAAAATTATTTAACATTTCAAGTCGACCATGTCTTAGAAAATTATTTTTCAAAATTGGTGTTTTTAGAGCATTGTTTTTTGGTTGGTATTTCTGACTTCATAATGTGACATTTTTCAAAATTGAGACATAATTGACAACTGTCACCGTGTTTTTCCACCCAAGTTCACGAAATCGGAGAACTGATGGGAAGTCATTATTTCTCTACAAGTTACATTTCGTCACCAACCTGCTGATTTAATATAAAAACCTGCTCAGCTGTTCAATCCACCGAAAACGAGGTGGGAAGAACGAGAAAATAAATTTAATTTTTTTAATTTAGCAACATCCGACCGTAATTTGCATGGCTGCCAACTAAGACTGTCAAAATAACTACAAAAAATTAGATTAATAATAAACCTTGCTTATAAGGTAATTTCCACACCGGTCCTTTGTATAAACTTGACATTAAGAAATAAAGGTTCCTCGTTAACTGAAACAGGATTTGACAGTAGACACTGAATAAACATTTTTTTTTATAATTTGATGCACATTTCAACTATGCCGCAATATTTTAAATTATGATTTAACTTTTTGCCTTGAAAAATATCCAAATTCTTTAAAGCTACGATTTAAGTAAAAAAATTATTCCGTTGTAGATTAAATCTCAAAACTCTAGTCTGGGAAATCGTCTATGTTAGTCGTGGAGTCAGTGACTATGAGCCAACGGGACGTTATCGTCACGAAGTCGGTTTCGATAACCGAAGTATCTACGTTCTTGGAGGAGGAACGGCCGTATCAGCGTTTGACTTTGCCAACATCCCTGTTTTCAGCTTGGAAAAGCGAGCTTGGCATCCTCAGAAAACGATCAGAGATACCAAAAAAGGTGAGTAAAAATTGAACGTGGAGGAGTTCTGTTCATTTGTGAGCATAATTTTGAAAATGAACAGGGCATCCACTTCGTAGTAAAAATAGGGGCTTTTCACAAGACAGATAAAGATGGACTTCAGAATTACGACAAATTTTAATGTATGATTTTAATTGAGGTTTGGATAATGAGTAGTGAAAAATGTGTGAAGAGCGCATATAAATATAACATATTACATGTGGATGTTAATTTGCGTAGTTAAATTTTTGAAAAATAATTTACCTTCCTTGCTCCTTCGGGTCGAAAATTTTTAGAACACATTTTATTAGTCACACAAAGTTCAATAATAATACGTGTTTTTCAAGTTTGAAAATAGTAGCAGCAATCAGAGAAAAATTAATGTCAAAAATTAAGTAAGATTATATATTCATAATTTTGACACAAAATTCAACGATTTTTGACCATGTACTGTTATCAATGCGAGCATAATTTCTGAATCTTTTTTTAGCAAATTTGTTATCGTAATTTATAAAAAGCAGTATTACAGTTCATTTTTTTAAGGGCGTGGAAATATTCACCCAACCCAGAATACACATTTCACAGTTAACCTGACAATTTTCATATTATGTGTTAAACAATTTTGAAATAATGTATATTTTGCAAAAAAAAAGTCAATATTGACATTTTGGTTAAAATGTTATTTTCTTAAAGTGTCACATTATTGTTAGCCTAAAAATTTGTGTTTCATTTGTTATGTGTCAGCTGTAGGCTAAGGAAGTATTGTAATCGAGTGCATTGAGGGACTGGCTATTTTTATGTTTCCTCGACTTTTCATGACCCCTAAAGTACGAAGAAATAGGCCTCCCGTTTTCATCAGTCTGTCTGTCTGCCGTCTCTCCAGATTTTTATTAGAGGATAATGTAATGTAATGTTTATTCATGTTTAAAATACAAAGTATCATACAGTCGTCAAAATCAGTGTAATTCTATATTTAACCAAAAAGTTACTTTAAAGCAGTAGGTAATTATTAATTGTTGAGTAAGTTTCCCCCTTCCACCTAAGAACTAAAATTATGGTTAAGAAATTCATCTTGGGAGTAAAAGGCTCCTTCTATTAATGAAGTTCTCACTACCTTTTTAAAATTAACTAAAGGCAAATTCTTTATATTTTCTGGCAATTTATTAAAAAAAACTTTACGCCATAGTAACTGGTGGCTTCTCTAGCTCTCTTCAGCCTATGATAATTGATGATGTATTCGTTCTTTTTACGCGTGTTATATTGATGTTCTGCAGAGTTATAATTGAATTCATTTTCCTTAATGAACAGAACCGCAGCAAAAATATACATACATGGAACCGTCATTATTTGCAGTTTCTTATACTGCTCCCGGCAGTCGTCTCTATACTTTAATCCAGCGAGTACTCTTACACATTTCCTTTGAACTGAGAACACTTTATTAATGTGTACTGAATGTCCCCAAACCAGAATTCCATAGTTAATAGAACTATGAATGAGACCATAGTAAGCTGTCTTTAGCACATATAACGAGACAGAGTATCTCAGTTGCCGTAATACAAATACTTGACTTGATAATTTATTACACAGTGCATTAACGTGTGCTTCCCATGTTAACCCTGCGTCCATTATTATCCCAAGAAATTTAATTGGTTTTTTATGACAATCACTCCGTTTTAGAGAAAACATGAGTCTTTGTTCCTTATCCTCACTCATACATACTTTATTGGCCAAAAACCATGTCTTAATGGATGCATAGCAATGATCTCTTTGCCTATTTAAAATTTCAACATTTTGACCTGTACTAAATGTGTTGGTGTCATCTGCAAATAATATAAAATTTGTATCACAGCATGACGGAAGATCATTAATATAAATTAAAAATAAAACTGGTCCAAGCACTGAACCTTGTGGGACACCGTGTAAAATTGTTTTAATCTTCGAACATTGTTCTCTACCTACTGAAACATACTGTTTCCTCTTATTTAAATATGACTTTATTAATGACAAGGCACTATGGTTGAAGTTATAAAATCTCAATTTATTTAGAAGAGTATCATGCGAGACACAGTCAAATGCTTTAGTTAAATCATAGAAATGTGCATCTAAAAATTCATTCCTGTCGAGTGCACCTGTAATTTCAATACATAATCTGTTTATTGCTAAGGTTGTTGAACGATTATTTCGAAACCCGTATTGACAGTTAGTAAATAAATTGTTTTTTTCAAAGTAATCACACATTTGCGTTTTTAGAATTTTTTCAAAAACTTTGCTTATTATTGGCAATATGGACACCGGCCGATAATTTGAAGGGTCCAATTTGTCGTTTTTCTTAAATATAGGCACCACTTTGGTCAATTTTAAAACGTCGGGAAAGATCGATTCTTTAATACACTGATTAAATAGACTCGTTAATGGAATTACTAAAATATGACCTATAGATTTAACAATTTGTATATTAATCCCATACGCATCCTTGCATGAAGTATTTTTGAGGGAAAATATTATGTCTCTCACTGTATTAACTGAAGCTTCTTTAAAAACAAATTTATCATTAGGAGTATGTTTAGTTTTATGTAAGAGTTCACTTGAACTTACATCACAGGGTGGCAGTTTATCCATTATTGATGTAGCGACATTTTCAAAGTATTCTGCAAAAACACTGGGATTTATTGGAGTGCTCTCAACTTTTTTATGGTTTCTGTTATTCTTAATTAAATTCCATGCTGCCAAATTTTTGTTGGAAGCTCTTAAAATTACTCTGTCATTGTATCTTTGTTTTTCTCTACGAATATGAGTAATATAATGTTGTTTTACAGCTTTAAATGTAACTTTTGAGACATGTCCTTGTCTATATGCTTCATTAAAAGGTAGTGTCAGAAACTACCGAACCGATTGCTGTCAAATTTAGGACATGTATTAGGAATATTGTGTAGATGGTAAAACCCTAACCAAAAAATTAGGAGAATCATTCCCACGAACAATGGGATGATATCATCACCAAAATATACATTAGTAAATCTTATTTTGATCTTACAAAATAAGATACTCCGGCACATGTAGTTTATGAATCCGTGTTGAGTTTGTACCCTAGACATTCTGATTTTTGGGGAAAAAATCAAAATTCTATAACAGCATTTTAAGGTTGTTGTAAGCATAGTAAATCCTTAATCAAATTTTTTTCGTATATCCTCCCCCCAAGTGATGACGGCATTTTACAATTTTGACGAATAGATTTTATCAAATTGGATACTACTGAATGTGTGATTTATGAATCCGTGTCGAATTTTATAGCCTAGACATCAGATTTTTGGAAAAAAAAAAAAACAAAATTGTATAATAACATTAAATTTGATAATTTAACTTGGAAGTTCTAAAACGGAATAAATTTTCCTTAAATATTATAGAATTACATGCTCCTGGATATGTGATTTAAGAATCCGTGTTGAGTTTTTCCCCTAGACATCCAGGTTTTTGGGAAAAAAATCAACATTTTCAAATTTAATTTCGAAATTACAAAATCGAATGCTCTAAAATCTTGATTTATGGCCTCCTCAAAAAGTAATGATCTCATCTTGCAATTCTTTTTTCAGTTTGATAAATGAGGCACATGTGATTTATGAATCCGTGTTGAATTAGTTTTTAGTTCCAGATTTTTGAAAAAAAATATCTAAATTTTGAAACATCTTACAATTTCGCCAAAAGTTTTTCAAATTTATGAGTGTTTTGGGGAAAAAATGAGTGTGGTTAATTAATCACTCCTCTCATCTGCGTTGGAGAGACAAAATCATCAAATTTCATTTTCTTTTAACCGCTGAGGGCCGGTTTATCAATGCTCAGTTAAAAGTGTCTGTTAAGTAACTGTCAGTTAAGGGTAACTAGCAGTTAACGGAGGTAAAGTGTTTATCAATGCACGATGTTTCTTCCAGTTTCGTAGCTCGAAGTTTAGCTGTTACTCTCTTAAGTTGGTAACGCTCACCTCACTGGGAATGAGTTGTGATTGGTCAGTTCAAAACTCCCCGACCTTGAAAGTTCCATCAGATTCGATCCGCATTCGGTATTCAACGATTGTATATCGCGTTTCACGTGATCAATCATGAAAAGCAAAATTTAGCATTAGAAAAAAAGTATTGGAAATTAAAAATGAAACAAGTAGGTACACCTATAAATAAATACAGAGAGATCGAAAAAGAAATTAGTCAAAGTTGGCCATGCACGAAAAGGCGGTTGTCTTAGTTTAAAATATTTTTTTATTAATCGTCACGTTGACAAAAGTAATTTGCACTGTTATCAAACGAAATTAAAGCTTTTTTGTTATTAGAATCTTTAGAAATGGGATAAATTTTAGACAAAATTGGAAAACGGTGATTTTAATTCATTCTTATGTGTTTTAAAAGTAGGCGTCATAATTCTAATTTTAAACTGTCAGTTTGACATTTAATAAAAAAAATTAAATTATCCTACCACCGTGATTACGACAAACGGCTGGTCGTGCATGGCCCACTTCGATTAATTTCTTTTTCGATCTCGCGGTATTATTAGATAAGTTTTTAATTTTTGGTACCTACATTAGACCTGGAAAATAATCGGCTAATAATAAGTGTTTTTCTCATCTTTTCTCTGTCAATTTGTTGCACAACATAAGTCCTCATCAAAATATTGTTAAATTCATAACAGATTTATTTGGATTTGTTAGGTTATGTTGCCACTAACTGGTGGATAACGCTTTAACTGACAGTTTGAACTGTCAGTTAATTTATCAGGCACTTTGACCACCAGTCTTGAGGTAGCGGGTAATGATAAACAGGTTAACTCACAGACAAGCTTTAACTGCCAGTTACTTTAACTTAACTGCGCATTGATAAACCGGCCCTGATGCTTGTAGTCGCATTCTTTCGAAGTATAAACATAAACAGTCGAAGTTAAGCATGTGCTGAGAAATTGAGAGTATCAACATATTTTCGTGTGAATTACGTGCTTAAAATATATTTCATATTGACCATATTTTTGCTTTATAGAGGTTATGAAAACGAAAATCGCAAAATCAAATTTTATTGATTTAATTAAGGCAAAGGAAGTTCTGTCGAAATAGCCTTCGACCAATGTTTTTACACATTTTATTCGAATTGAAAATATAATCGTCACCATTAGAGATGCAAAAAAACGGTTTTTTAAAAAATCTGTTTTTGTGTTTTAAAAAACGTTTTGTTTTTTTTTTTTTTTGTAAGTTGTATCAATATTAATAAAAATAGTTAAAGCTGCCATTGGAAAAAAACAAAAATACTTTAATCATAGCCAACTCCATTAACATCTAAAGAGATATATTTTGCCCCTATTTTTCTTAATATACGTAGTCGTTTTTTACATGGCTGCCTACAATATTAGCGACAAAAATATCCAAATATTTTAATTTTTTTAAAGAAATATCCTTTAATTTAAAACATGATTTTTAATAAAATCGACAAAAGGTAACCCAAGTTATATCCAGTAAAAATTTCAGCTCTGAATCTTTGTTCAAACAAAAGTTTACATGGGGTATAAAATTTAACATGGGAATCCCTATGGTCACTTTTAAAAAAGTTGCACTGTATATAGTTTCCTTTGAACGGCACGATACTTAAAACAATGTTTGCAGTTAAGCTCCGCCCCTCGGCCCACGACGAATAGAAAAAATCGTCACAATTGACATAGGGTGGGTGGGCGGGGCTTATATTTCGCGTCTGTTTTTCTCAACATACGTAGTCTTCTTTTCACAACAAGAAGCTCAAAACATGGTAAATTTTATTGGTGAAATATGGATTTTGGAATTATGCTCTGCCGCTTGATCCGACAACGAATGAAAAATTTATCACAATTGAGGTCGGTGCGGACATAGGTGGGATTTAATTTTTTAACTTTCTTTTTTACATAATCCATATACTTAATTTTCTTTGAACAACACAATGACTTAAGAACTCGTTTTACATGGTAATTTCTTGTAGAGAAATGAGGATTTTGCAATTAAGGTCCGTCCTCTGGCTCACGACGAATACAAAAAGTCATTACAATTGAGATAGGGTGGGTGGGCGGGGCTTATATTTTGCCTCTGTTTTTCTTAACATACGTAATCTTCTTTTCACAAGAAGAAACTTAAAACATCTCTTTAGAGATTAATGGAGTTAGTCATGCTTTAATTTTAAAATGACGCCATCTGTTAACGGGCTATAGAACCAACCTGTAACATGTTTCATAACTTAACTTTAAGGTAGGAGGGAAATCATATCTTCATATATGTATGTACATTTTATGTAAAGTTACAAATAGACGATGACTTATTTATTAATTGCATGTTATTAGAAAAAAAAAAACAAAAATTCATAAAAAACGTACGGGAATTAAAGAAAGAAAATTTAAAGTTGTTTAAAAAAACAAAAAACCTATTCTGTTTAAAAACAAAAAAAAACGTGTTTTAAAACCAATAAAACAAATGGTTTTTTATACTTACATCACTAGTCACCATTAGTTTGTGTATATTATGTAGATAATTTTGTCCACGCCCGTAAAAAAGAACCAAATATTTTTTTTGTTTTCGTTAAAATTTTGCCATTGATGGATAGGCACCCAATAATAATAGGTTATGTTGATACACGAAATTGTAGGCAATCACAACATATATAGCGTGTTATTGAAAGGTACGTACAAAATAAAATCGGCAATTGGTCTCGAAGTATGGGTGCTAAAAGTTAAAAAAAAGTTCAGATAAAAGTGTTCTCTTTTCAGAGATAAAAATTATTAAAATTTATGTCCAAATTCGTTGTACGCCTCTGATAAAAAGATCATCTTTTGTTTCTATAGCAACATTTAGTCTTAATTTTACCTATTTAACCTTCAGTAACGTCTAAAAAGATTGGATGAGGGTTAATTTTTCCTTTATAATTTTGATAACACAAAATAAGTTTTTCAGACTTCTTAGACTTCGCGAAGAACTGTCAATTTTGTTTTACGTACCTTTCAATAACACCCTGTATTTTATGTTCTAAGGGACGACCTACGTACTTTGGTGAGGTAAACTATAACCACCACACATTTTTTGTTCAACTTAGCCACCCAATTTTGAAAAAGTGTCTCATCCATTGTTTTGTGATAATCTCTATCATTGTTTTTCGATTTGAATAAAAAGTTACAACCACCTAAAAACCCAAATTGACTTCCTGTCAGTTCATTCAACGTGAAGCAAAAATTTCATTACTTACTTTAGTCTAAAAACATCCTGAAGGATGGTCAGAAATTAAAAAATGTAACGTGTAAAGTTGTAAAAATTCATATTCCAAAAATCCAGCCTAATTAACGGATATTAAATTACTGAATTTACCTTACTTACCTCATATGGAATCAATAAACCTTCAGTAGTTGCAAGGAAATAAATATAGCCTTGAGTTCTTTATTGCACATAAAGGCAGACCATTTAATTCCGTTTTTATGTGTTTTACTTACTCAATAACTTGACATTACCTGACATTGCTACATCTTATTCGTAACACGTGCGCTCTATCTACATCCTGTTCTCACCTCACCAAGCCTCTGATAATAATTCGTGAAAAGCCCTTATATTTTATAGCCGCTGTAAATAAACTTGAAACGATGTTAGGGATTCCTCCACCACGACGTTGTCACGGCGCCGTCCAAATAAACACGGAAAACGGTACGCAAGTCTTCATCGCCGGCGGTCACGACGGCGAAAACGTCTTCGACGACTTGTGGCGTCTAGACTTGAAAACATTTCAATGGACTTACTTCGACAAGTGTAGGTTGCCGTTCCCTATATATTTTCACGCCGCTGCGGCAACACCAGAAGGGCGACTCTACATTTTCGGCGGAATTTGTAGTAATAACGATAACGACGTCAGGCGGAGCAATTGCATGTATTCAACGTGGCTGTGCATACCTAAGCTTAGTGAGATATGTTGGGAGGCCGTTTTGCATTACAGTCCACATATCGTGGATTGCAAGAGTGAGGATCTGATCAATGTAGGATTACCGAGACACTATGTACAAAGGCTAGGCAATAACACGTCACCATCAAACAGAGAACAATAAGCGGGGGTTTATTAACTTAAGTTCTCTTGCGACGAGAATTTTATTTATTTTTATTCTCTCTATTGATCAAATAAATTATTTAATAACAAGCTGGTTTGCAATTAGAATTTTCCACAACACAGGGACGTGGCGAACAAGTTGCGTTTTTTCATAGCTCGCAGTTCCAGCCACTGCTCCTGATTGGGTACGTACATCTCGGCTGGCATGAGCTCGTTTTTTTCAGCGGGGGGCGAATTGCTGCTTTCTACAACTAAAGTTGGTTTTAATTACAGTCGGAGTGAGTTTAGCAAGTTACCGATTTTTTTGTTCTTGTCCACCATCTTGATTTGTTCGCCAGGACATCGCAGGAGCAGACGACCCACGCCCTCGCACCTTCTCAACACTTCGTTTTTTACCATTTTCTTTCGCATTGTTTGGCTGATGACTGAACAGTTCGTCAACCAAGTTTCGACGTAGCCGAAGTCACAAAGTAGTTGACAAGCGCCATGTTGTGAAAACTTTATTTTGTTCATGTAAATGTGGTCCAGCCAGGACTCGCACATAATCTGAAGGATCATGTTGCTGATTAGATGGTCCTCAGTGGCGATTAAAATCGGAGTGAGAATTCGGTCTGAAGATAAAAAAAAAATGTTAACAATACAAAATTATGCTGGTTTTACACCAGTTCTTAAAAATTTCGCCAAAATATTTTAATCAAATCTCAATATCAGCATTTATGAAAATATTTTTAAAAGTCTCGGTGTCAAAAAGCGCGCGACACTCTTCTGAGTAAGTATCAAATCGTTTGGATGATACATATCAAGTAAACACTGTATTGATTCTAAAAGGCTTTCCGAACTTTCGCGTTGGGTTTCTCTACAAAGTTGGTAGAATTTTTTAAGCCTTATTTATTAAATAGACAATCTGTTGTCATTACACGAGGTTTTATTTCCACTTCCCTTTTCCTGTTTCTGTGGTTCCTCAGGTATTTGACTTGGGTCTCCTTTCATTCCTCGATTTTTTTAATGATCGTGCAATAAATTAAATTTAGACTAGTCCTAAATCCAAAATCATTTAAAATTATGTTTAATTATGCGTATGCTTTAATTGTTTAGTTTCCTGAACACACATTTTTTTCGTACAAATCTTGCTTGAAATACTTCTTATTTTCTACATATTGCAGTATTTATCCTATGAGAGAACTTTCTTATTTTCAATAATTAAATAGATTTCAAAAATTTGTAAATATTTTTCCCCAATATAGAACCATCTGGAAGTCGGCAATTTTCCAGAGGCGACAGTGCCCGACTCCAAAATTGATATACTTTTAAACGAAGTAAAATTTTGGCCTTTCAGGCTCCGGTCAAAATGTTTCCCATCAGGTCTCATCCACCTCTAATCACGGGACTCCCGAGATTTTTTCGAATCACTTCAAAAACAGAACACAAGGGACCCCCAAGATTCTTTCAAACTATTTCAAAAACAAAACAAATGGCATCCCCGAGATTCTTTGAAATTACTTCAAAAACAAGAGAAAGGATTTCCGAAATTTTTTCAAACACAAAACACAGGGGGTCTCTGAGATTCTTTCAAACTACTTCAAAAACAAAAGGGGTCCCCGATAATCTTTGAAATTACTTCAAAAACAAGAGAAGGGATCTCCAAATTTTTTCAAACTACTTCAAGAACTATACACAAGTGGTACCCGAGATCCTTTCAAATTACTTCAAAAACAAAACAAAAGAAGTCCCCCAGATCCTTCAAACCACTTCAAAAACCAGGCACGAGGGGTTCCCGAGATTCTTTCAAAATACTTTAAAAACCAAACGAAACAGGTCCCCGAGATCCTTCAAATTACTTCAAAAACCAGACACAAGGGGTCCCCATGTCTATCAAACCACTTCCAAAAAACAGAACACATTTAGCAGCCGAGATTATTTCAAACTACTTCAAAAACTATACACAAGGGATCCGCAAAATCTTTTCAAACTTCTTCCAAAAAGCAGAATACAAGTGGTCCCCTACATTCTTTCAAATTTCTGCAAAAACAAAACAACAGAAGCCCTCGAGATTTTTCAAACCATGTCAAAAACCAGGCACAATGGGTTCCCGAGATTCGTTCAAAATACTTCAAAAACCAGACACAAGGCGTCCGCGAGATTTTTTCAAACTACTTCAAAAACAAGATAACAGAGGTCTCCGAGATCCTGCAATCCACTTTAAAAACAAAACAAAAAGAGCCCCCGAGATCCTTCAAATTACTTCGCAAACCAGACACAAAGGGTCACCAAGATTCTTTCAAACTACTTCAAAAACCAGACACAAGACGTCCCCGCGTCTATCAAACCACTTCCACAAAATAAAACACATTAAGCACCCGAGATCCTTTCAAATTTCCTCAAAAACAAAAGAAATCCACGAGATCCTTCAAACTACTTCAAAAACCAGGCACAAGGGATTCCCGAGATTCTTTCAAAATACTTCAATAACAAGACAAGGGATTCGCAAAATCTTTTCAAAACTCCTTCCAAAAAGCAGAACACAAGTGGTATCCGAGATCTTTTGAAATTATTGCAAAAACAAAACAAAAGAAGTCCTCGAGATTCTTCGAACAATATCAAAAACCAGGCACAATAGGTTCCCGAGATTCTTTCAAACTACTTCAAAAACAAGACAAAAGAGGTCCCCGAGATCCTTCAATCTACTTCAAAAAGAGTCCCCGAGATCCTTCAAATTACTTCAAAAACAAAACAAAAGAAGTCCCCCAGATCCTTCAAACCACTTCAAAAACCAGGCACGAGGGGTTCTCGAGATTCTTTCAAAATACTTTAAAAACTAAACGAAACAGGTCCCCGAGATCCTTCAAATTACTTCAAAAACCAGACACAAGGGGTCCCCATTTCTATCAAACCACTTCCAAAAAACAGAACACATTTAGCAGCCGAGATTATTTCAAACTACTTCAAAAACCAGACTAGGGATCTTTGAAATTCTTTCAAACTACTTCAAAAACTATACACAAGGGATCCGCAAAATCTTTTCAACTTCTTCCAAAAAGCAGAACACAAGTGGTACCCGACATCCTTTCAAATTTCTGCAAAAACAAAACCACAAAAGTCCTCGAGATTCTTCAAACCATATCAAAAACCAGGCACAATGGGTTCCCGAGATTCTTTCAAAATACTTCAAAAACCAGACACAAAGCGTCGGCGAGATTCTTTCAAACTACTTCAAAAACAAGACAAAAGAGGTCCCCGAGATCCTTCAATCTACTTCAAAAACAAAACAAAAGGAGTCCCCGAGATCCTTCAAATTACTTCGAAAACCAGACACAAAAGGTCACCGAGATTCTTTCAAACTACTGCAAAAACCAGACACAAGAGGTCCCCGCGTCTATCAAACCACTTCCACAAAATAGAACACATTAAGCACCCGAGATCCTTCAAACTACTTCAAAAACCAGGCACAAGGGGTTCCCGAGATTCTTTCAAAATACTTCAATAACAAGACAAGGGATTCGCAAAATCTTTTCAAAACTCCTTCCAAAAAGCAGAACACAAGTGGTACCCGAGATCCTTTGAAATTACTGCAAAAACAAAACAAAACAAGTCCTCGAGATTCTTCGAACCATATCAAAAACCAGGCACAATAGGTTCCCGAGATTCTTTCAAACTACTTCAAAAACAAGACAAAAGAGGTCCCCGAGATCCTTCAATCTACTTCAAAAAGAGTTCCCGAGATCCTTCAAATTACTTCGAAAACCAGGCACAAAGGATCTCCGAGATTCTTTCAAACTACTTCAAAAACCAGACACAAGGGGTCCTCGAGATTCTTGAAAACTACTTCAAAAACAAAATAAAAGGAGTCCCCGAAATCCTTCAAACTACATCAAACGCAAAACACAAGGGGTCGCCATAATTCTTTCAAACTACTTCAAAAACAAAACAAAAGGGGTCCCTGAGATTCTTTCAAACTACTTCCAACACAAAACAAAGGGTCCGCAAAATTTTTTCAAATTCCTTCCAAAAAACAACATAAGTGGTTGTCGGGATCCCTTCAAATTACTTCAAAAACAAAACAAAAAGAGTCCCCGAAATCCTTTCAAATTACTTCGAAAACTAGGCGCAAGGTGTCCCCAAGATTTTTTCAAACTACTTTAAAAACAAAGGGGTTCCCGAGATTGTTTCAAAATATTTCAAAAACAAGGCAAAAGTGGTCCCAGAGATCCTTCAAACTACGTCAAAAACCAGACACAAGGTGTCCCAAAAATGTTTTCAAAGTACTTCAAAAATAAGACAAAAGTATTCCCCGAGAGCCTTCAAACTACTTCAAAAACCAGGCGCAAAATGTCCCAAAGATTCTTTCAAACTAAGTACTTCAAAAACAAAAGGTGTCCTCTAGATTCTTTGAAATTACTTCAAAAACAAGGTAAGGAATCTCCGAATTTTTTTCAAATTACTACAAACACAAGGGATCCCTGAGATTCTTTCAAACTCCTTCCAAAAAGCAGAATACAAGGGAACGCCGAGATTCTTTCAAACTACTTCAAAAACAAGACAAAAGTGGTCCCAGCGATCCTTCAAACTACTTCAAAAACCAGGGACAAAGTGTTCCAAAAATTCTTTCGAACTACTTCAAAAACAAAAGGGGTCCCCGAGGTTCTTTGAAATGACTTCACAAAAAAAAGCAAGGGATCTCCGAAATTCTTTCAGATCACTTCAAAAACTATACCCAAGGGATCTGCAAAATTCTTTCAAACTCCTTCCAAAAGGTAGAATATACAAGTGGTACCCGAGATCCTTCAAACCACTTGAAAAACCAGGCACAAGGGGTTCCCGAGATTCTTTCATAATACTTCAAAAATCATACACAGTGGTCCGCGAGATTCTTTAATTACTTCAAAAACAAGACAAAGGATCTCCGAAATTCTTTCAAACTACATCAAACGCAAGACACGGGGCGCCGAGATTCTCTCAAACTACTTCAAAAACAACACAAAAGGGGTCCCCGCCATCTTTCACAAGAGATTTCAATTTCTTTCACACTACATAAGTTCAAAACTACTTCAAAAACCAGGCACAAGTGTTCCCGATATTGTTTCCAAATACTTCAAAACCAGAGACAAGTGGTCCCGGAGATTCTCTCAGAATACTTCATAGACAAAAAATCACGGGCATGGGCGAATGGGACTATCTGGAAATCGGGGATTTTCCAGAAGCATCAGTAGCTCTAGTACACCGGTACCTGAATCAGAATGTTAAATATTTTTAAACAAAATAAATTTCAGCCTTTCAGGCTCCAATCTGATTTTTCCCGTGCTGGTTCACAAAACATCTAGACGTTTTAGATATAACCATGGTACAAGAAGTCTTCATGTACCATGGTTATAACTTGATAAACAAAAAATTGAAACCTGAATAAATGAATTTCCTAATACGTGGTTTATATGAACAATTCCATGACTGTCAAATTGTGATAGGACCAAGAACAGTTAAAAATCCTCTCATGAACTGTGAATTTACAAACAAACAAAAATTTACACCACGTGTTTCAGATTAAAAAACCATTAAACCAACCCCTCACCACGAGCTACCACTCTAGAAATAAGTGAAGATCTCTTCACACGGTTGCCCATGTCTAAAAATTTTCTTAATGTACTTTTCAAATCCAAATTATTTATTGACTCTCACTAAAACATTTGTGCAACCTTATTTCACCTACCTAAATACTTATCAACATATGAGCTCTGCTTATCTGGAAGCTGCGTCGAAACCTTCCTCCAGTAAAAATTTTCAGGAAATATCATTTGCAGATTTGCTAAACTAATAGTCCTGCAAATACTGGCCAGATTCTTAACACATTCATTTGGAGTATCCTATAAACAATAAAATAATAAAAAATCGCAACACAGAGCTACCCACCTTCAGCTTACTTATATTTTCACTAACTTCGGAAACTAGCTTAGCCCTCATTAAAGTACAAACTTGCACGTGCACCCCTAAACCACCCTTTTCAATTTTTACACTATGGTCAGCGAAACGTAGCGAGTTCAACTGACCCAAACAACTAACAATATCACTATGAGTGATCATAAAAAAAGCGTCGACGTTCCAGTTGTTTGCAATTTTTTTAGTTTCACTAGCAGCCCAGAGTCTCGTAGTGTGTATGGAGTGATCTACAAAAAATAGTGTAGTGTGAGTTTGACACACCGATGTCACTACCTAGCCTATGCAAGACCGGAATTTGTTCCACTAAAGGCAACTCCTCCAAAGGCGCCCCAATAATCCAATCCGGAGTAATCTCACACTGGTTACACAACATCACTAGATCTTGCAAAACATTACAAAACAACTTCCCCGTGTCTGCATTGTACACGGACTTAGAAGCCACTAACGCTAATCGAAAATGTTGGTCCCAGGAAGTCAACGTTACGTGAACCCCCAAAGCATCAGCTAGACTCGTCAAAGCCGACAAAACCATCGCTGGTACTTCAGCTGTTGGTATAAACTGAGTTATCCACTCTCTCAAGTGTTGGCTACTGTGTGGAGGACGAGCCGACAAGGGACTGGAAGCCCACCAGAGTATAATGTGTTCTAAAAAATTCCCGACCTCACCCCACAAGATTTGTTCGTAATAATCCAGAACCTTCTCTCGAGCTTTCGTGCTAACTTTAGGGGCACCACTGCTTTTAGATTTTTTTATTCCGTCGTTTCCCAGCATGGCGGGAGACACTTTTAAGATCATCTCTAGCAAATCTAAGACGTTTTTTTCTTCGTATGCTATTAGTTCTTCGATGCTTAGGAAAGTTTCGTTGTTGCTGCCGTTATCGAAATTTAGAACTTTGTTTTTAGTGGCGAGTTCTGAAGGGTCTGGAGGTGACATGTGTTTAGTTAGAGCTCTGTAAATTTCGAAACTTGAGTTATCTGAGCCGTTATCGTCGTCGGTGGTTTCGTATAACTTGTAAGTTTCTAGGAGACAGTCGATTAGTTTGTGACAGCACAATTCCGCTCTGTTGCTGGAGATGATTTGGAGCAATCTAGCGACCGAGATTTTTCGTAAAGGAAAAAATAAATAGGGGCAGGAGTTGTTGCATATGCTCATGTTTTTAGGAATGCCGAATTTGCTATCGATAGAAAAGAGATTGTTGTACGCTGTGGATATCCTACAAGGTGATAAAGGTATAATAACGAGTTTTTAACATGCGGATTTCGACAATTATGTAACTACCGTAAAGTCAGAATTAATAAATTCTCTCCATAGTAGATGAATAAGTATGCGATTTCGTTAATTAACTCTTGAATGAAGTAACAAATTTTCAGTTTGGTTTTCCATAGAGAGTCTTTCCATAGCCTTATTCGTTCAGTAATCACTGTAGAGGTGCTTTCAAAATTAAGTTTTTGGAACACGAGGTTAAAGTTCGTAACCATAACATCCATTGTTAGTTTAATATCTTCCAACTCCTACAAAACGTGCTCATTGTAATAAAAAAATTAGATTTAGTGTGCCTATGACAAACAAGATATTGCTACAACGTGTGTAATAATTTTGTTTAAATTCTAAAAATGTATCAATTATTAAATTTGATCCTGTTTTTGATGCGTTTGTAACACGTACTCATCTATGTTGTATCAACCAGTAAGGATATTTATTGTATCATTAACACATCAATTGTATGACGAATGTTTCAAATGGGAATAGATTATATAACGTGACACGCGAAATTTTTTTCGTTGCATCAAGTATACTATTTTTTTTTAAATAATTGTTAATAACTTATTACACTAAAAATATAGTGTATGAGAATTTTTCATTATCTACTTACAAAAGTGCTGTTGGAGGTGGCGAAAAATATATAAGGTTAGTTACTAATTATTATTATTATAAATGTTTACACTACCTATTTATAGTGAACCAAGACCTATAAGGTTATATGGCCATCATAAAAGTAGTTGACCGCAAATAAATACCCCCTTTGTGTGGTTCGCACTAAGCTTACCGGTTGGCAATAAATCATCTTCTAAACATTTCTTGCTCATATTTAACAGGACCGGCTTTCAAAGCGAGTGGTTATTTCGGAACCCTCAGCGGCTGCAGGTAGTAAAGAAATAGTGGAGTGGTGGATTTTCATATTTAGTGAAAGCCGCCCCTGAACGAAACCACAAGAGCCGGTCGAGCTGCAGTGGACACGTTATTTACGACCCTAAAGCCTTTTCTATTGTAAACAACTTAACTTCGACACAATGGGATGATTTTATGATGGCCATATAACCTTATAACTCTTGGTTCACTATAATAAGCTAATTAACCATAGTGTTAGTTAATAACATTTTAAAGCAGCACGAATCAACTTTATTATTACGAAAAAATGGTCCAAAGTTATTTCAACATATTAAAAAATTTAAAATCGTTATAAAATAGTATGTTAAAAGTCATTAAAAAAAATTATAATACTGTCAGTGGCGGCGTAGCGTGGTTTGGCATCCAGGGCGGTTTTCTATTGAACACCCCCGTATATAATAAAACAACAAATACTAAACGTCCTTACGAATCTTTATTTTAGCAAAATATTCTATGACGTTACCAAAATTTACTTTCCTCTCTTTTTCAATTGATAAAAATGGAAAGATTGTTTAGTCGCGCTTAGCTCATTGTGGACCTTAAGTACAATTTTATCAATTTTAATTTTAAAAAGCGTCTTTCACGTGAAGCCACCGAAAAAAATGGTTAAAAAGATCTTAGACACAGCGCTTGACTCGAAACAAACTCAGAATAGCCCCATTTTACGATGAATCTAAAAAGCTTCTTGGGAAGAAATGCTGGCAGCTTCCAAGTGGCGCCTCAGTCATAAAATTTACAAAATTATGTGCTCTGCAGAACATTCATCGTAGATTTTTGTTAGATTTGGCACTATTCCATGAACATCTTTTCTTGATGACGTTAGCAGTGGGATTTATAAACTTACTGTTGAAGTTTCGGCTGACATTGCTTTTACAGCTGAAAATTGTCAGTAGTTACTTATATCTTATATCCCGAGTGCATGCTGAATACACGAATATTTTTACGAGTGCACGAAATGCACGAGTTAAAATATTCAAGGATGGCATGCAAGAGGACTATTTCTCGAAGAATATTTCATAATTTTACATTCACTCTAGTTAAGAATGACCACGGAATAAAGACAATCTAAATTAGTTGCCAAATTAAATTTTCAAATCAAGCCTGTGAAACTTGTCATAGTAACAATCTCCGATAGTAACACAAATAAACAAGCAAAAATTGCAATTTATTTTGTGAATAAAATGAGTGAACTTTCTTGTGAGCGTTTTGGAAAAAATTCCTTAGAGGAAATTGACTCAAAAATTCATCAAGCTCGTGGAACTTGTTTGATGAATTCTGCAAGTCAAGAGGTTATATTTTAAACGAGAGCACGTCTGTAGTAAGTTTGGCGAGAATGTTAAAGGATTTCGGATTCAACATGTAAAAAAAAAGACGGGGAAGATTATAAAGAAGGAGTAGTTAAGACCCAAAGGAATAGGGTGGCAAAAATGGTGCAGGAAAAATTCTTCGAAGAATATGGCATTCCTTTTGATCCATCAAGGATATTGAATTTACGTCAGCAAGGCATGCGCGAGGTAGTAAACGAAAGGAGCTACAATGTTCAAGTGAAAAACGGAAGATTAGTGCTGCAAGTTTCAACGTTGCCTGTAAACTGTCTTACCACTTTTTTTTAAGAAGAAATAGATAATTTTGGACAACCAACAGGACGTATTATTTACAACCCAGTATTTAGTAAGATATCCCAAGGAGGAGCTAGGCCGCTGACAAAGAAAAAATTTCTAGTGACAAACAAAATAAATCCGGATCGATGCCCAGTCCGGTAAGTTTACTTTTTGCAATAATTTTTAATTGAATTTATGCGTTCTATAAATTATTTTACAAACTGATAGAAAAACAGAAACAAGATGTCACTACAAATCGTCTTTTTCTAACTCCTAATCCTTCGTGGAAAAAAGAAAATTTTGTTGGCCTCCAAGAACTCGCCGATAGGAAAAAACATTATATCCAAATGGACTGTTTCTGTGGCAAAGGAGATAGGAATATTGGCAAAAAGTGTTGTTGGCGAACACCAAATAACGAAAATTACAGGTCACAGCAATGTGAGTTCAATCAATTCATACTTAAAACTGGATGAGGAACATCAAAATGAATTGATTTCGAAAATGAGAAATGAAAATTTGCCAAGCGAAGAAGTATTATTGTATTTCAATATTCGAATAAATAAACTTTTAAAATAATTTGCTCATTACTTATTTTTGTAGAATGTCAAAAATATTCACTATAAGTACACGTGTATATACCCGGGTATTTGCATAATGCTCGGTCATATTCTTCCGTTGCTAGGTGATTTTGGTAAGATGCGTTAACATGATTGGTTAAAATTTTCTGAGAGAAATAGTCATTTATAAACTCCGTTGCCAAGTTGTCGTTGATAGTAACTTTGATGTTCAACTTTTGCCTTATTTAAAGGGATTTTAAGTTTCTTGTTGTCGAAATAAGTCTACACATAGCAAGAAAAAAAAAAGCAAAATGTAGCCCCGCCCACCCGCCCAATCTCAATTGTGATGATCCGAGAAATTAAAAACATGTTTTTGAGTATCGTATTGTTCAAAGAATACTATGTATATTTAGAAAAAAATAAAACCCAAAGATTGCAATGAGGCTGCGCCCCACAATTGCAAAATCCATATTTCCTTGCAAAAATGTACTGTTTTAAACATGTTTTAAGTTTCATGTTGTGAAAAGATGGCTATGTATATTAAGAAAAAAAGGCAAAATATAAGCCCCGCCCACCCACCCTGTCTCAATTGTGATGATTTTTACATTCCGTCGGCCGACTCTCTACTTTTGCATTTTCTCGACGTATCATGACCCCTAGAGGATGAAGAAATATAGGTCCCCCGTTTCCGTCTGGCTGTCTATCTGCCGTCCCGGATTCTTATTAGACAGATAATCTCCGAAAATACTAGGCCGATTGTTGTCAAATTTTGTATTTATATTAGGTATATCATGTAGATGGTAAAACGCTAACCAAAATTTGTGTAATCATCCCCACCACTAATGTGATGATGTCACTTCAAAACTCCGAATTGAGATTTTACCCGAAACGTCCAGATTTTTGGAAAAAAAAATCAACATTAGGAAACAACAATTTGACATTTAATTTGGAATCTGCAAAACCGAATGCTTAGAAATCTTGCAGATGATTTACAGTTATGACAAGCATGACCAAGCGCCGCGGATCCAGGGGGGGGGCAATGGGTGCAATTGCCCCCCCCCCCCGACACACGACCGACGTACTTTATTTTCACCAATTTCAAAATTTTGAAATCGCATTTCATTTTGTAAATACAGTAGCTACAACCTCTAATTCACGATTATCCAAACATCCAGTAATCCGAACAAAAGCTATTTGAAATCGATGCTTCTTCGGAACTTGGAAACACGCACCTACTTGCACAAATGACGCAAGATTTTTCTACATATGTTGTATGGAGTATTTTGAAATTTTTAAAAATTGCTATATTTCAATGCACTGAATTAATTATCCAATTCTGGAAAAAAGGTTGAAGTAATCGAAGAAATGAGGCCCGAAATCTACAAGAAAAGTATTTAGGTAAAATCGTCAAAAATGGGTCGAAATTTGCATGAGGAACATTTCATTTTTGAAAAAATTTCTTAAAAATTCAGAAAAAATTCAGGGATATGTATATCCCGACGTGCTGATTCCAAATATATAGCATGTTAATGGTAACCGAGCAATATTTTTGAAAATTCGGTGTGAAATTCGAATTTTTCGAAATTTTTAAAAATTGCCAAAGTATTTCAACTGGACGAATCTGGAAAAAAGCTTTAAGTTATCGAAGAAATGAATCCAGAAGTGACTTCTGAGATCCAAAATCTACAAGAAAATATATTTAGTTAAATTTTGAAAATCGTCGAGGATACATATGGAAAATTACATTTTTGAAAAATTCTGAGGGTATAGATCCCAGCGTGTTGATTCCAAAAAGATAGCGTGTTTATGGTCACGGAGTAATATTTTTTTAGAATGTATCTATTATCCATTGTTGCTTAAGAATTCTTTAATTTTGTTTAATAAAATTAAGGTTTATTTCTTGAAGTTTGTTTTCAACTGTATATGAAGTTGTTATTCAATTTCCTTTCAGATTTTTGGGAAAATCGCTGATCCGAACAAATCGTTAATCCGAACACACCTTTTTCCCAATTAATTCGGATTATCGAGGTTCTACTGTACACTATACGTGTAACGAAAACAACCAAATGTCACCCATGTTATGTGACAAAAGAGTATACTAGTTAAAATTTTATAAATTTTTTTGTTTAGAACGCATTTCTGGGAGATAAAATACTGCAAAAATTGCCCCCCCCCCCCCCCCCGCCCCTAAACGAAATCCTGTATCCGCGCCTGAGCATGACAAGTTTTTATTCAAAAAATATTTACTTGTCCCCTCCAAAAAAATTGATGACTTCACCTCAAAAGTTTGCCGAATAAATCCTATCTATTTTTTGGATTTGCATATACAGGGTGTCTCAAAAAAGTTAATGAATGAGTGAATATATTTTATTTATTTAATCAGAAAGTACAAAACCGAATGCTTTGAAATCTTGGAGCTGTTTTAAAGTTATCATAGGCATGGTAAATTTTTGAACAAAATATATTTGCGCATCCCCCCCTAAAAAATTGATCACCCCACCCCAAAATTTTTCCGAAAAAATGCTATCTTAAATGTGCATTGTGCAAAGTATGATGAGTCTATAATCGTGATTTATCACTGCATAAATATTTTTTAGATTTCCTTATACGGGGTGTGTGAAAAAAATTAATGACCGAATCAATTTATTTTATTGATTAAATCAAGAATTACAAAACTGAATACTTTGAAATCTTGACGTTTTGAAGTTATTGTAAGCATGGTAACTTTTTAATGAAAATGTAGCTGTTTATCAACCCCAAAAAATTGATTACGGCATCGCAAAATTTTGCCAATAAATTCTTTCGCAAATGTGCAAAATACGAACAGACTTTTAATCATTGCATTCATATTTTTTAGATTTGCTTAAACACCCCATTTTCTGGAAAATGTGAGAATACGCTCGTCTTTATAACAACAAAATAATGATAAGGTAAGAATTATAATAATAACATTCAGAATATTTTGTTCAATGGAGGCTTATGAATAATTTTAGTCATCTGTTTTGGGGCGATAAACTCATTCAAATCAAACAAATATCTACGTGACATTCTTCCGATGTAATGTATTCCCGTTGATAATGTGCTGTAAATAAATTTTTTGCACTCATAACCTTTTTTAATGATCTTGGCGCATTCAACAGCATGCGGGACGTCGAACATCTCGCACAGATGCATTTCTCTATGACGTCGTTGTTTATAAATAAAGCTGGGCGGTCGAAATTTATTCATCCTATCTACCCGTCTGAAGTGCGCCCGGTGCATCCTTGTCTTACCTTCTCGCTTTCCAATTATGCATCATTTTTAGTAATTTACAGAAATAGTTTTATTTTCAGCACGACCGACACTTGAAAATTATTAAAAATATTATTATTATTATTATGTCGTGGATATGGATTTTAAAATCATCAACTGACGTTCATTTAACGTTAGTTTTCTCATACAGTGACAACATTCCTGTTGTATACAATAAAATTTTATGATGGTTTAAGCCAGTTAACTTCACAGCGGTTCATACCCACCATAAATTGTAATTTGAAACCCGGACAAGTGGAAAACCAGTAACCCGAGCGGTTCTTAGCTACCCTTCTTCTGGTTGAACAGTAGCGGGGCATGCCAAGGCGGTGGGACACTCAGTGAGTGAACAACTTAGCCACCCATCGTAATGACATTGTAAAATTTTATTGTATACAACAGAAACGCTTCTACTATAATTTTCTTCGCGATGCGTAACATAAATTTTAACCGCCTAGCCCTATTTTTTTTTTTTAGTATTACACTACTATCCAAACTGATATATGTGTCCTTGCAAAAATGTTGATGACGTCATCGCAATTTTTTTTTAAATGCTCCGCTACAAAAATGTAATGAGAAAAAAAAACATAATTGGCATGCCGTCGTCACGTTTTCGACAGCGAGGGAAGTATTGTCTAAACTCTTTAGACCAATTTTTTTTATTCGTCGTAAGCCGAGAGGGGGAGCTTAACTCTAAAATCCTTATTTTTCTACGAGAAATTACCATGTGAAATATGTTCTTAAGTAATTGTGTTATACAAAGAAAACTAAATGTATTAATAATTAAAAAAGAAAACCAAAAGTGAAGCGCCACCCATCCGTCTCGATCTCAACCGTGATGAATTTTTCATTCGTTGTCAAATGAGGGGCGGAGCGTAATTGCAAAATCGATATTTCCCGATACAAATTTACCATTTTAAACATGTTTAAGTTTCTTGTTGTGAAAAGATGACTACACATATTAAGAAAAAAAAAAACGCAAAATGTAAGCTTCGCCCACCCGCCCTATTTCAATTGTGATGATTTTTTTATTCGTCGTGAGCCAAGGGGAGGAGCTTAATTGTAAAATCCTTATTTCTTCACCTTTCATGACCCCTAGAGTACTAAGAAATAGGTCTCCCATTTCCGTCTGTCTGTCTATTTGTTCGTCTGTCTACCGTCCCGATTTTTTTTGTTTTTTGTATGTTTTTGCAAAGTGGTTCTTTTGTAAGTATACTCTAGCTATGCGAGTGAGTTGTCGTTGTCACCCCTTAGTGCTTGGTACCCGGAGTAGACCGCCCCCACCGCCTCCACTGAGTACTGTGTGTTTAGAATGTTGGAAAATTATGTTTAAACTTTCTATATCTAGTTTACTTAAAAATATGGCTACATATTATTTTACCACAAATAAAGTAGTATGTCTGCCATATAAAATTTAGTTTTAAGCGAAATTTATTTATCAAATTTTGACGTCATTAAGTTTTTGGAAGGGATAAATGGGTGAATGCTAATGACCAACTGTGCGTGTGCAAAATTTCAAAGCAATCGGTTTCGTAATTTGTACTTAAGTCACATTGTATATATATATTTTTGTTTGCATAATGTGATTTTTTTCCAAAAGTCTACATGCACAACGTTAAAAACAGAGATAAATATTAATAAACCAATCACTAGTATAAAAAGCATATTATTTTGCACAATAGGTAATAATAAACACCAATTCGTCCGACATCCTTTTGACTCTTAAACGGAGTAGTCGCACTTCGATTTTCTAGAGATTCGTTAAAATTTTCAATATTGATCACTTTATAAATAGATATACCTGACCTAACTTGATCTGACCTGACTTGACCTGATCTAACCTAACTTGACCTGACCTAACCTGACTTAAAAATTAAATATCAGAAGATATAAAAACTTAGTTAAAAATAATTATAATCTCGACAAAGTACAAAATTTTGCTAAACCATCATAGACACGAAAAATCACTATTATTTATGATATATGGTTCTGTTAACGATGACGAAAATTTAATTAATGACATTTACGGTTGCGTCGTTCAAATAAAGACACACGTTCCCTGAACTTACCTATTTATTTCTCACAGACACTTTCTTTTTTTATTACAGTCATGTGGTATCAATTCAGAACGAGATATAACAGGTAGGTACTTACTTGAATATTGAGCTCGTTTTGCATACAATTGTGATACATTTTCGTGTTGTATTTCTTCCTCAAATTTTCCAAAAGCACACAAATTCGTAACAACAAATTCTTGGAAGTTTTTTTCAAATCTCTACAATCTTGAAAAACAGTTTCTGACCCTTTTACATCTACAGGCAACCATTTCGTTACAGTCTGAATAGTTCTCGACATCAGAGAATTTCTATTTTCATCGTTATGCGGCAAAAACTAAATTAGATCGATACTAATTCGCACCATTAAGAAAATTACACCACTATTTCCACTAATTTATGTTTAAGTTTCTTTTGTACTTAGAAAATCGATGGAGACTGTTGACTTGGAGTACTTTCTTTTTTATTATTTTTAAAATAAATCTAAGCACGCACATTTTATCGTCTTCGTCATCTACATGCAAATGGTGATTAGAAATTATTTCTACACCACAAAACATCGTCACAAATTTTGCCGTTTCCATGACTACACCACACAAATAAACAACGTTGCTAAGTCGTACGATATTGTTATTGACCTAAATAAATCATTGCAATTTTGTGTCGTTAATCTTCTTTTCATGTCATGCATCTATTTACCTAATGAAGAATACCACAAATAAATTAAATTGTACCCTTTTAAATCAAGCGAAATTGTTTATACTTCAGCCCTTGACACGTAATATTGAGTTCTACAAATACCCAAACAGGAAACAAAAGTTATTGCTTATGTTTATTTCGATCGGTGTCGCGCATTTTCAAATTAAATTTACCGCGGTTACTGGATAGACGTACCGCTACCAACTCTCTGCTAAAATTCCCCACGTCAAAATTCATTGACCGATTGACAGCCAGCATGACACAAGTGATTTTTTCGAGGTTAGCTCTACTCAATTAATGACTTTAGCTACAACTAGGACCTTTATCCGCACTAGAAATGGTGTAAACAAGATCGCAAAACTTGTTTTTTCATCAGTCGAAAGTTATTTCGAAATATGTTCATAAATGAGAGAATATTAATTTTGTACGGTTCTCAAACGGGCACTGCTCAAGACTTGGCAGAAAATATCTGGCGAGAATCGAAACGTTTTTATTTCAAAAGTACCGTGAAGTCTATGGACGATTACAATGTGTTAGATTTAATTAGTGAAGAGTGCGTAATCTTCGTTTGTTCCACGACTGGTCAAGGTGAAGAACCAGATAACATGAAGCAGTTTTGGAGGTTTCTGTTGCGAAAAAATATCCCCTCGGATTCTCTTTCTAATCTAAAGTAATGTAATTCATTTGCGATTAATTAAATTAGTTGTTTATTTTTAGATATGCTGTGTTCGGTTTAGGAGATTCTAGTTATACTAAATTTAATTTCGCCGCGAAACGATTACATAAGCGACTTCTACAACTGGGGGCGCAAGCTCTGCAGCCGTTAGGTTTGGGCGACGACCAACATTATTTAGGTTATGACGGTGCCGCTGATCCGTGGATAGAAACGCTATGGTCGAAGTTGCTTTTATTGTACCCATTACCCAGAGGGGTTCAACCATTAGCAACAAATTTGCCTATAACACCACGGTAATTACAACCATCAAATAAACGTGTGTAATGTAGTGGTTTTAGTTGGAGTGTGCAAAGTTCAACTTTGGCCGAAAACTTAAACAATCAGTCGATTTATTACGCCACAAAACATTTGGATGATTTTACCGTTACTGTTATTGATAATAGCAGGATCACACACCCTGAGCACTTCCAAGATGTTCGTTTAATTAAATTGAGGACTGAAGGTCAGGAGTATGTACCAGGTGACGTGGTTTTGTTAAGACCTAGAAATTTACAATGGCAAGTGGATGCATTCCAGGCACTTTTGAAGTCTCATAATTTAAATTTTGATTGTATTCTAAGAGTGAAAGAAAATGAACCTGAAATGCCAGTGCCTCCAGTATTGAAGCAAAAAGTGTCTTTTCAACAAATGTGTGAGGAATATTTTGACTTGATGACTATACCCAGAAGACACACTTTTAAAGTATTAGCGCAAATTACTGATAATGAATTAGAAAAAGAAAAATGTCTTGAATTTACGACAGCTGAAGGACAGGATGATCTTTACACTTACTGTAATAGGCCTAAAAGAAATATAGTTGAAGTGCTTCAGGATTTTCCCTATGCCACTAAAAATCTGACCAAAGAAATTCTGTTTGAAATCTTACCCCCTATTAAACCTAGGGAATTTTCAATTGCTAGTAGTTGCAAAATGCATGAAAATGAAATTCATGTTTTGTTAGCAGTAGTTAAATATAAGACCAGACTAGCTAAGGAGCGATTTGGACTTTGTTCCAACTATTTAGCTGAAATGAAACCAGGGGATGAAATTTCAGCAAAGCTCAAAAAAGGGAGTTTCAGATTCCCCACAAACCCCGTAAGTTTTATTAAAGTGCACCCCTTTTTTACTAAAATAAATTATTGCAGACCATTCCTATTATCATGGTAGGCCCTGGCACAGGTGTCGCCCCTTTCCGCAATTTCATTTTTGAAAGATTCGCAGAAGGTATGTCTTCTAATCAAAATCTGTTACTATTCTTTGGTTGCCGGAACAAAGACAAAGATTTCCATTGTAAAGACGAGTTCTTCGGGCTAGAAAAGGAACGACAACTAAATCTGATATGCGCATACTCCAGGGATCAAGAAGACAAAGTGTATGTTTGATTTTGCGTGGATATAAGCAAATTACACTCATTTGTAGGTATGTCCAACATAAAATTTTGGAGCACCGTGAGACTGTTTGGGATTTTTTGCAACGAGATGGTCATATTTTTGTGGCTGGAAATGCCAAATTGATGCCACAGGAAGTAAGGGAGGCGTTTGTCAAAGTCTGTCAGATGTCCGGTGGTATGACGGTAGAGGGCGCTGAAAAATTTATAGCAACAATGGAGAAACAAAATAAGTACCAAACGGAGTGTTGGTCATGAGATGTAGTTTCATAGTTTAGAACAATTTACAATTATTTGTTGACGTTGTATTTTTTACTGGTTTTAGTTTTGCGTTTATTGTTTACTACATTTTATTAAAAAACGCATATACATTTTATTGAAGAGCGTATTAAATCACTCCTTACATAACAAAATGTACTGACAGATTATTTATTGCGAAACGATTCCATTTAAAATAAAATAAATATTAAACAACGACGTTATTAAGTGACAATAAAAGGCGACGCAATATCCTTGTTTATCGCTGATATTTTCATTGTGTGAGAAGCGTGTTGCTTGAAGCTGAGCGGAAACTTTTAGTGATTGGATTCAGTCGTTATTGTGCGCAAATATAAACCAAATCCTAGTAAATATTTACGTAAAAAATGCAACCGCGTTGTCGGAAAACAAGATCATCAAGATAATTTTTAGTCGAATCAATAATGTTTTTGTGAAAACAATATTACCTCAAAATCTCGTTAAAATACGAAACACGGCTGCAACTAATCACCGTCATGCAAATTATGAGACGGTTTATGTTTTAAAGTTAGGAATTTGTTGGGCAAAATGTTAATATTTGTAAACAAATTTGTCCATAATTCGCTAGGAAAGTGTGTACTTGTGGACGATTTCTCGTGGGAAACGAACGGCTCTCATATGCTTGTTCCTTTTATGCTTCTTCGCAGTCTTTGTAGTCTTTAATTAAAACATACTACAAAGCTTTTATTACTGTTATAAACGGACAACTAAATACAATTTAAATAATGTAATCAGTCCGACATACTTAAACAATTATTCGTTATTATTAAACTCTACGGTAGTTGGTACTGTTGATGTTTAATAACTGAAATATAAAACTATAACATCATTATTTATGACACGCAGGTGCAGATGAATGGATGTGTAAAATGTGCAAAATTTAATCACACCTGTATAATTTTCTATGAATATTTTTGTAAATTATGACTAGCATTAATTTAATATTATCGCAACTGTTATTGTTTTCCATGGGTGTAAAAAAAAAAAAAAAAAAAAAAAAAAAAATTAACACAAGTACCTACATACCAATTCGTTATGCAACTGCTGGTTGATGAGACCCTGAATCCCACTATGACTTCTTCACGGAAATATACCATCATTCCATGATCTCTCTCTTTATGTTTACTTAAGTATGTACCTACTTAATTGTGTACGCATTGAGTAGCAGATCTAGATATGTTTAAAAACTGATTTGTCAAAGTACAATTTCTCAACCAGTGTGAAATACTAGAATTCATGCTCCATAGGCGTCGAAGTAATACAAAGGAAGGGGCGGGGTTGTGAAGGCATTTGGCATTAGGACTGATCTTAAACGTTGATCCGCTTTGAGAGAAAGGACTTTGAAAATTTGTTGTTAAATTCATACCCCTTTAACTCGAAAAACGGGAGGGCTTTAATATCTTTTTTAATTTTTTTGCGGCTTGAATTTGAACATTTATTATCGACGGGGAACGGTGACCTAACACTTGGGCTTATCTCACAATTGTTTTTAGCTCTCTACAATAGAAGAATAAACAATTTTTGTCTTCTGTATTTTGTATTCGATTTAGAGGCACTTTTCCAACCTTAGGATTCACCACTTTGTATCTGAACGCATTCTGCCATAAAAAGACATAACGTGGGGTTCTATTTTGTTGACGATCACAGTTTATTTATAAATTTTTCGTGGGGTTTTAAAATTTTGCCCACATGTCAACTTCTGGCTCTGGGATGTTTGGGTTATCACAACACGTATGTCAATTCCGACACGTATAGCGTGATCCTCATAATAAAAAAATGATTGACTTGATCAATAAAAAAAAATGGAAAGACCACCACAGGTCTTAAGTCAGGCTGACGCATCTACCATCTACCTATTATGTTACTAAAGAAGAAGGAAGTGTATATAATAAACAAAAACGAAGAGAATTCGAAAAACGGAAGTACAAGAGTAATTTATTAATTTATAAAAGTGAAATGGTGTTCACTAAACAAAATTTACGACGTTTCTACAGTGTGGATGGAGATGATAAGACAAATTTTGGTTAGCGCTTTAACGTCTACACCATATTCCTAACACACATAAAATTTGACAACAATCGCTCTAATAAAAATCGCCGCAGACGGCAGTCAGGCTGACAGACGGAAACGGGAGACCTATTTTTTCGTACTAAAGAGAACATGAAGCGGCGAGAAAACATTAAAGTTGCCATTCTTCTTACGCTCGTTTTTTCAATAAGATGAAATGGATTTGCTATGATGGTTTTTCACCTTGAATTAGAACTTAACAGTTAAAATAATTGACAGTAATTGAAAGTTGGCACAAAATAACTTTCAGCTTGATTAGGAATGACTTCGGGATTGTTTCCAATCTTGCTAATAAAACATTTCGCTGGACATTGACTCCAAAATTTTTTACTGTTTAGACGAAACTTTCCCTAGGTTTGGAGTGCTATAAATACAAACACAGTGTCGTAGTCTCTTCTTGATAACACATTTATTTGATAATTTTTTGATATGACTTCTTGGAACATCATAAATAAATGTGTAATGTCTATCCTACCATATTCAGACAATCTTATAGTCCACATAAAATATCACCGGTAATCCCTAAGTCAATAATGATGCTGATGATGACTTAGAATTTCTAAGAAGAGAGTTTTATAATTGCTAAAATAAATAAACGTAAAGCTAACATTATGAACAGATAATAATCAAATTGCAGATTTAAAAAACGTAGCTAACACTCGGGAAGTAAAAACAGAGTAATACGCAGTAATTAATTATATATAGGGTGTTTTATATTAAAAAAATCATTTTTCACGTATTCATTCGTTCATAATTTGAACACAGTGAAGGTGAGCGAAGAAAAATATTGCTGCCTCGGTGGGAGTCGAACCATACGTCACCCGCTTGCCGGGCAGGTATCCTGACCACTAGACCACGAGGCCGGTTATCTTTCTCCACTTAGCAACGTGTTATTATGGCGCCACGACAGCGCCAAAAAGGCAAAAGCAGCGTATTGCAAGATAACACAACAGTAGAAAACAAAGTCAACAAATTAAAAAGAAATACACAATTTATTCTTTAATAAAATAACGATCACTAGTTATTTATTTAATAAATAATTTTTTAAAATTGCGAAATTTGTCAGGGTGGCTGTTTTTTTGCCGGTCAGTGTAGTTGAAAAATGGTCCAAAATGCCAAAAGTGCCAAAATCAGTCTTATCTTATCAAATACTAGCCCCGCCCACCCACCCTCTAGTTTCTGAGAGGATATGTATTTGCCCGAATCAGTCATATCTTAGAAGTAATTTCACCACGAAAGGTTGCACGATTTGTACTCTGGCTAGCAGTGGCATAACATCGACGTATTAAGAAGGGAGGCTCAGCTGAGTTATATTTCTTTTAAAGACAATTAAAAAAAGGAGAACATTACAAAAAAAATTACAGACAACCATATAATAAAAATAAATTTGTTTGATAACAAATCGTTGAAAAACAAAAATAAAAATGTTGTCAGATATTGTTGGCAGTCTCTTTTCAGTGACATGAAATTCGTAGAACATTTGATGAACGGTTTTCTCAACATTTTCGTCTAACTAGTGACTTTCGGTGCAGGTTTTGTTTTTGTCCGTGTAGGGAAGCTTGATTTTTCCCCAGATTCGACTTTTTTCTTGCTCTTTTGCAATGCTGTGATACGCGTTTTTCGAAATTCCAGTAGCTGCCCTGATGCGTCTTCTATCATTTACTATGGAAATTGTAGTTCCCTCTTTAGCTTCTTATTTCATGAAATGCATGACCCTGCCATTATTTCTCTACCTTTGCCAGTTTTTGAAGTGAACATTTTCACTTGATTTAAAGTCCAAAAAAGGCAGTAACGTACTATGAACTGACGGATTTTTTTTTCAAAACACTTCTTATTTTGTAATAGAACAAATTACAACACATTATATTTACCAAAAAAAAGAACAAAGTAAAATTGTCTTGAATAAGACATTGTTAGCAACGGGACCTCGCTGGTGCTCCGATATGATGTCGCGCCAGCCGAAATTCCAGCCGTCTGAGGGTTGATTATCGTCGGTTAATATAAACATTAGATAAGATGCAAGGGAAGCAGTGAAGGGGGCAGGCTGTTCTTTCTTCTTGAGGAATAAAGACGTATTTTGATTTTGCTCTCGCGTTTACTTTTCCCTGTGTAATTTTGGGGACTTGATATCATTTGATATTAGTTCAGAAGTGGGATTGTGCCACGTGCAGTGTAGTGATAACTGCAAGAGTACAGTGCGGTACCTTTGTAAAAACAACAAGAGGATGGGCCGGAATAGAAAACGACGTGAGCCTTCGACCTCCTCAAGTGACGAAGAACGACATCAACGTCAAGGCTGTTCTTCAAAACGACCCCGGGAAAAGTATCCCAGTGAGAGAACTCGCCGGAGCTCGGAGACGCGACGTGCGAAAGGAGGATCCGGTGAGCGTATCGAACGTCTGGAACGACTGGTGGAAAAATTGGTCCGGGAAAGATCTACGGAAACAGGGATAAGCACGGGTCTGGGTAACCAGATCAAGTACATTACGAGAACTGACTGTATCCCGGAATTTGTTCCGGGGAACCCGAATATGTCGATTACCCGCTGGCTGTTCAAGATCGACCAGTTAGGGGAGGTCCACGGTTGGGATGACGTAGAAAAGGCGTACCACATGCAGAATGGACTCCGTGGCTTAGCCAAAAGTTGGTACAATAGCCTCAGCCATATTAATTATCCGTGGGCTGAGTGGAAAAATCTTTTAATGAAAGCTTTTCCCGAGCACACTGATTATGCGTCCTCGTTGCATAAGATGCTGAAACGGATAAAGGACCCCAACGAAACCATGGCAACGTACTATTACAATAAAATGGAGCTGTTGCAAGTTTGCCGTATTTCGGGAAAGGACGCTGTTTCTTGCGTCATAGACGGTTTGGCGAACGTAAGTTTGCAAAATGGGGCACGAGCGGGCAGATATGATTCACCAGAAGCCTTATATGAAGAATATCTGTCTCGAGTGCAAGACGAAACAGACGAAAGTAAACGAGAGAAACACAAAATGCATTGGCTGAGAA